TAATTTCTGCTCTAAAATAACATTGTTTCGATGAATATTAGATAAAATTATCTTAAAATAACTTAAAAAAAAAAAAAAAACAAACCCTTATGTTATTATTAATTGTTGTTTCTTTTTTGGCTTTATTCCCTCACCAGATGCTTTGTTTGTCAAAAGTTAAACCTAACTATTAATAATTGATATTGACACTCGAATAAAATAACTTGTAGGACATGAAAATTTCGCTGGAAATGACTAATTATGAGATGCCAATACTGTTTTCTTCCACTTTCCACTCATCCCGCCGTGTGTTGTTCGCGTTTATAAACAATGTCTCCCTCCCTCCATGATATCTCTTTGTTTTTAGGATTTAATATTTCTTGTGTCCTGTGATATATAATGATCTCGTTTTGGAATTTTTAAACAAAAAAATTAAGGCATTTGGAGAAATTTTTGTCCAAAAAATAATTCGTAAAATACCCTTAATTTTTTTTTTTCAAATTCAAAAATGATGTTGTCTAATAAGTTGAAAAGAATGGGGGCTTTTAAGTCTTTTAACTAGACAATATCACAACGAAGGATTGAGTTTTGAGGGTAATGTTGAAACTAGAAAAAGAGGGAGTGGATATCTAAAAGATACTCCCATACTTAAGTTAATATTTGAGTGACTAGGCATAAAATATACGAGAAATATAAATATACTTGAAGGTATTTGTGTTTGTATTTATAATGTGTGGCATGATCTGCTTATAGGTTATTTGACCGCTTGATCTGCTCATAGGTTATTTGAGCGCTTTTGTATGACAATTTTAGTGAGTAATTTTGTGATTATTCTGTTGGTGAGGCCCTTAAAACCTGCCTATACCTGATTTCGGGATGCCGTATGATGGGCTGTGAAGTGGACACTTGGATGGAAACTTCTTGTTTCCACTTTATTATTGACTAAGAGAGTGGTGACTAGCAAATTGCAATGAGCTGCTGTCATATACCCACGGGATAGTGTGTCTGTATATCATATACATTTCATATAAAATTAAGATGGGTAATATAATTCTTTGGGTTTGTCGTTTCTCCTTTCGCTGCTGATGAGAAAAGTTGCAGCAAATTATTAACACTAGGATTTGGGGTCGTATCCTGGCCTAAAAAAAAAAAAACATATCAGGATTCGGACGCGTATCCTGATAAAAATAAGTGTTGCTGCACTTTTTTCGATCTGCAGTGACAGAAGAAGTATATAACCCTAATTCTTTATGTTACACGATAAGGAAACTATCTACTACTCACCTTTCAATTTTCGAGCTTCTCCTTTTCTTTTCTTTTTTAAATTGTGGGCCTCACAAAATATGTCTTTGCAGGAAAGTTTGCTCCTCTCCAACCGCATGAGAAAATTTACCCTCAATTAAGAATGCAATTATGCTAGTTCTTATGACGGGTCATTATCTTAATTATTTGAGTTATTTTTAATTTTTATTGGGATATTCAAGTATGATGAGTCCTACATTAATTGATAATGAGCTAAGTGAAGTGGATAGACCCATGAATCCAATGTCTTAAAATTTTGGGTTAAAACATGGTATCGAATCCATTTGATATGGTGAAGTAACCTAATCTATCAATGATGGTCTCCACTGGGTGTAAATAGGCTATGCTTTGACTTAAATAGGTCAAGCCTGTGTAAAAAATATTGAGTCTGACCTGACTGTTAGCCTGCGTAGGCCCCAAATTACAAGTTTGACCTGACTTATATTTAAAAAATAAAAGCCTTACCAAATGGTGGTAGCTCAGTTGGTGCATGGGAGCTGAGCAAGTGGGGGTGAGGGCATGTGTTCGAACCTCCCCAGTACCACCTTTGGGAGGGGTTTAAAGCCTTAATCCTGGTCCCGCCCCGAATCGAACTAATCGCGAAGCGATGAACCAATGGAATATTTTCAAAAAAAATAAAAATAAAAGCCTTGGTCTAGGCCTGTTAGCCTGTTTAAGCCTATTAAAAATTCAACAATTAAAAGAATAGTTAAAATAATATTACTTTACTATTCAAATTTATTAAAATAATAATTTTATTTATTTTATTTAAAATAAATAATATAATATAGGTTGGTCTGTAGGATTATTGGCCCGATATGTACAAAAAAACCTATGGCCTATTTTCTAAATAGGCTTTTTTTAAAAGTCTAGACCTGTTTTATTTTACTATTTGTAACAGGCTAAGTCTGGCCTAATATAGGCTAGGCCGTAGGCTCCTGTAGGTCGGCCTAACCCATTCACACTCCTAGTCTCCACCACGGATTCCTCATGGATCCGCCTAACAATTTTTTTATGCATGTATTATAGGTCTAGACCTATATATATATATATATATATATATATATATATATATATATATATATATATATATATATATCTATATATGGGTAAGGATCATTTTACACCAGTGTAAGTTACACTCTTAATCTTGTCTGTTGATCTCATTTATATTTAAGGGCTCTAATTTTTTGGTAATGTGAGCCATTCGATATAAGTGGATCAATGGTCAAGATTGAGTGTAAGACTTCTAACTCTTACACCGGTGTAAGAATATCCTATATATATATATATATATATATATATATATATATATATATATATATATATATATATATATATATATATATATATATATATATATATATATATATATATATATATATATATATATATATATATATATATATATATATATATATATATATATATATATATATATATATATATATATATATATATATATATATATATATATATATATATATATATATATATATATATATATATATATATATATATATATATATATATATATATATATATATATATATATATATATATATATATATATATATATATATATATATATATATATATATATATATATATATATATATATATATATATATATATATCCAAAATGCCACGCGGCATATTTCGCTACACTGTGTAGCGAAATATGTTTGCAAGTAATTCGCTACACAGTGTAGCGAATTTCTGCTTGCTTGACACGTGTCATTTTTTGCTGACTGTGCATCCTGACATGGCATATTTCGCTACACTGTGTAGCGAATTACTTGCAAACATATTTCGCTACACAGTGTAGCGAAATATGTCGCGTGACATTTTGACAAAATTTACTGATAGCGTGGCAGTCTGGTAAATTTTTTTGCCAAGTGTGGCAAAATGGTCACTCTTCCGATCATTTAGGCAGTGATATCAAACTAAAAATATTGATATTCCATCTCAAACGTTAATTTCTGCCAGTATGATAATGATAATTTATTGAAAATTATAATTAATTAATGGTACATCCTAATAAATTACCATAGTCAAATTATAAAAAATCAACCGTTTTAATTTAATATCAAATTATACATGGGGCATGTTCTTTTTACATCAGTATAAGACTAAGAAGTCTTACACCATATCTCAATCGTTGATTGACGAAAATCATCGGTTGATATTTGTAGTGTAATTAATGATTAATTAATATTAATTAATTTGTATGACTTCCTAAATTATATTAATATTAGTCTTACACCAGTATAAAATTATCCTGATCCTATATATATATATATATATATATATATATATATATATATATATTTCGATTTTTTTGTAACCACTTTATGTGCAGCAATGACAAATTTTTCTTATATATAGATTAAAATATTTAATGTGAGGAATCATAACTATACAAAAAGTAAAAACTTTAAATGTGAGAAATCATAACCATACACATATTATAGTTGCACGTACAACAACTTTAGCTAAGATTTTACCATATATATATAGCAAAATGATTTGTCATGTGACTGGATTTGAGGTTTGTTGTGGTCAAAAAATTATAATTATGTACTAGGAGTAATACATAGTTATAATATTAAAGTTGTATTTTTTTCTCTCTTCAAAAATTTAACTATGTACTACGAGTAGTACATAGTTATAATATTAAAGTTATTTTTTTCTCTCCTATGTTACCCGACAAATGTGTAAAAAGTTATTGAAGAGAGAAAAAAAAACTTTAATATTATAAATACATACTACCCGTAGTGTATAGTTAAATTTCTGAAGAGACACAACTTTAATATTATAACTATGTATTACCTGTAGTACATAGTTATAATATTTTGACGTACCAATCAATAGATTCGATGTTTGAACATCCGCTAAACTATAAATATATATATATATATATATATATATATATATATGAGGTAGGATCCTTTGACACTGGTGTCAAATTTAAAGTTTGACTCCTCATCTGAGAGTCGTTAGATAAAAAAATCAATGGTGTCACATGCTTACAAATCAGAGTCATTGATCTTTTTTGATCAAACGACTCTCAGATGAGGTGTCAAACTTTAAATTTGACACTGATGTCAAAGGATCCTACCTCTATATATATATTTTGATTTATTTAAAATGCTGACCAAGATATGTGTCTCGATTACGTACCTAGTAAGTACAAATCTGTTGGCCCATTATCTAACTTTTATCTAAATCTGATGAAAAAATGTTTATCTTTTTAAATGACACAACTTATATTCTTTCACTCTCACAAAGAAGTGGGACCCACAATTTTATAATTTTTTGTCCACTCTCTCTCCTCATTTATCTATCTCTTTCTCTCACTTAAAATGACACAATTTTACATCCTTTAAAATGATACACACTTTTCTCAAACCCTATTGGCCATAATTTTGTTTTAAACAAGCCCTAGTATATATTCATTTTTGCAACTCACATTAATTTTATTCATTGTCAATGTATAAGTGTTATTAGCGAATTAAAATTAAAATTGTATTAACAAAAAAAAAACTAAATTTCATTAGTAAAATTTCTCTTAAATTTGATAATAAAAATAAAAATAGAAGGCCCAGTTCTGAAAAGTACAAAGTCCAACAAGATTTCAATGTTTGGGCCCAGTCCAGACCAGTCACCTCTCATCTCTCACCACTCTTTCTGCACATTACACTGTGTACAGAGTCACTGGGTTGCTGAACCTCAAGCTAAAGCATGATCAATGGCGTCTACGGTTTCATCTTCTGAGGGAACAAGTTGGGGCCAAAGGGTATCCGAAAATGTTCTTTCTTTCTACACTTCTCTTCCCAAGAAAGGCAAACCTCAAGGCCGTGAAATCACCGTTTTGGCTGCTTTTCTTCTATCTTCTCCTTCCAATGGTTCTCTTCTTCTGTTTCCAATACAATACCCACAAACCAAATTTCACTTTTTTATCAAAATAGAAATAAAAAATAAAAACTTTTATTTGGGTTCATGAATTTACTTGTTCATTTTGTTGTTGTTTTGGTTTAAGATTTGAAGGTTGTTGCAATAGGAACGGGAACAAAGTGCATTGGACGTTCTCTCTTACGTTCTTGTGGTGATGTTGTGCATGATTCTCATGCTGAAGTTATAGCTCGAAGAGCTTTGATGAGGTTTTCTTTCTATCTTTTTTTTTTGGGCTTTTTTCATTTTGTATCATTACTATCCAAAAATTTATATATAATATAGCTTGGCATTCTTTTTAGACCAGTTTGTGTTCATGGAGTGTATAAATTTTGAACATTGATATTGTATTGTAGATGTCCTTGTGTAATATTCATATTCCTTGATATAAGCTTTTACAGCTCATTTTTCAGAAGTCTTATTTTTATAGGTAATATTTCAAGGATTTATGAAAATGTAACGGAGAATACTACTCTTTTTTCTCAATTAATAGAATGTCTTGCTACATGAGGAGATATTTTTCATTCGTTTCTATCCACACCAGGTTCTTCTATACACAGATTCAACATCTTACTGAAACTTGTAGTAAGAATGCACCTAGCAATGGAGGCAAACGGTTCAAAGTTGATGATGGCAACTTACTATTCGAGTTGGACACAGGGTGTCTTAATAAAAGAAAATATATCATGAGAAAGGGTTGGAAATTACATATGTATATATCACAATTACCATGTAATCTAAGTCATCACTTTCTCTAATACTCAAAATACTACCTTTATTAGTTACTATACGGGTTAGGTTAATTGCCTTTTGTGTTGCATTTTGTAGGTGGAGATGCTTCACTGAGTTCACTTGTCTCTCCTTTGGAAACTGTGCCTTTGGGAGAAAGTGAATCACCTTCACATTTGGGTAAGCTAAATAATTCCATAGGTAACTTTTGCAAGAATTTAATATTTTTTTACATAAAATGGCTAAGGCCAAGAGGAACTTTACACAGAGAGATTAAGAAAACATTCAAATAAATAAGAACTTTATTAATAGCAAATATTTTTGCTGAACTCTCTTTCCTTCTATTATTCAAAGATAGTACTTTGATTATAATTCTTACCAAATTTGATGCTGTAGTGATTTTTTCGAATATTATATTTGATGAATTTTTAATTAAAAGATTGGCTGTTGTTTTTTCTGGTCTGAGGAGACATACTTTTGCCATTAATTCCAGATTGTGGTTCAAAACAAAAGGGGATGGTCCAGAGGAAGCCAGGTCGTGGTGATACAACTCTGTCAGTTAGTTGCTCCGACAAGATAGCTCGTTGGAATGTTGTTGGTGTTCAAGGTTGGATATACTTAAACTGAGGCTGTGTTTGTGTTTGTAGTAGTTCTTGCTTGGAGATCAACTGTGATGGGAGATTTTCAAATTCCTGTTTTAAAATTAGTTTCAACACGGCACATAAGACATAATGGACACTTAGGTTCGCATTGTTGTTTTTATCCATGTATAGTTTTTGCATCAACAATATTTGATTATATGATTCTGATACTTGTTGATTTATATATATTTATTTTTTTACAAATCTTATACATTTTTATATTACCAGTGCTTAAATGTTTATAATTTGATTCTATGCACTAATGTGAGTATTGAATTATATCAATACCCATCAGAAAACAAACAGTCCATTTGCAATCATGAACTAGAGCTTTGTGTTGGTTTGATAATGTAATGTATGTGGATACGATCATGAAATAAAATAGTGTGGTTGCTTACATTTTTCATTGCATAAGTCAAGTGTAGTGACATTGTTTCTCTCATTCCAGGAGCTTTGCTTTCCTACTTTCTTCAACCTCTATATCTTTCTTCAGTTACTGTTGGTCTGCCCCTTAACAGTCCTGAGAATTTTCGCTTTGAGGATAACTTGAAAAGAGCTTTGTATGATCGTATCCTACCCTTATCAAACGAGCTAACGCATCCATTTCTAGTGAATCAGGTCTGAACTATTCATTATCTTAGTAAGAAAAGTGAGTCATGGGATGCTGATTTCTACGTAATTTTTTTTTATCTCAGCCACTATTTCAGGCTGCTCCAGTACCACCAAAGGACTTTCAGCAATCTGAGAGTGCTGCTAACACTTTAACATGCGGGTACTTGCATCAAATGTTGGCAAATTCAGACATTCATGTAACTATATGGTTTGATGTTGCATTTAGCTGAGTGCTTAACTTTGCAGGTATTCTATATGTTGGAATACATGTGGCTTGCATGAAGTTATCCTGGGAACTACAGGAAGAAAGCAAGGCACCTCTGCAAAAGGGGCATTCTACCCGTCAACAGAGTCATCTTTATGCAAGTAAGCTAACTTGTACCGCAGTAGAAATTTTACTTGTAAAGCACTTATTAAAGTTATATATATAATCACTCCCTATTAAACCCTGACTATTGAGAGAAGAGGTGAGAGAATCCTTGTATGCAGCTTTACCTTTGCATATTTGTATATTTTTAGAAAAAGGATACTAGAGGTTTTCTTGTCATTGAAGCCGGAGTGCTTGACCAGTTCTCTGGCCAATGGGATTACTTATAGAGAACTTAAGGTATGCTTAATGTTCTTCAAATTCTCTCTGTGATGGTCTAATTTATGGTTTCTATGCAAGTAGTGGGGATGTATGATTATGATCTATCATCTCCTAACTTGTTTTGCATGATTAATCTCTTACAGGACGGGGCTGAAGAATATCATTTGGCTTCCAAAATTTTCAAAGGGAAGCCACCTTTTAGCAAGTGGTTCTTGAAACCCTTGGACTGTGAGGCATTCCCCATTCCAATATTGCCATAGGCTATTTTCTTCATTTGTTTCAATTTTTCTCCTACTCAGATTTTCTTTGCTTAATTGACAGCCTATATATTGGCTCACACTGCTAGCTATTATTAGATTAGAAAATATCTCAGCTATCTGCAATACCATTTTCATTGAAAAAACGACCTTCAAAATTAAACAAGTTGGCTTGAAGATTACAGATTAAAAACTTCAGTTTGCTTCACTGAAATCTTCATAAAGTTTAAAGATTGAGGCAAGCTTGTGCATCTACATTACACATTGTCCTTTGCTAGATGGTTCATGGACATCCTCCAACGGGCAAAATGGCACATGGATTATGCATTGGCATGGGTGTTAAAAAAATGAGAGAGTCAATTTGTAGTTTGCATAATTCTTAGTAGTTTGGTCCATAAGATGACTTGTTGTACACGTTAAGGACTATAACGAGATACCATCGTAACATTGTTTGACATTTTAATTTATTTAAGCATGAGGGGAGGCTTAGAGCAATAGTAAGGTTGCACCTTTGGGATCCCTCTATCTTAAGAAAGTTGGGTAGCCTAGTGCGTCAAAGTTTTTTATTTTTATTTTTCCAAAAAAATAAATAAATTATTTAAGAATGACGTACTAAGAACTTGTTCATACCTAATCACTCCAGGGCTCTTTTTGATTTGTAAAAGAATAAGGGACATTATAACAAAAAAAAAAAAAAAAGAGACGGTATTTTACTAGCATAGTACTCACTAAAAAGTAATTCGATAGATAACATAAATTTCTAATTTTTATTATTCATTAAACCAGGTTGTAAAATTTTAATTTTTTTTCAAAAATTCTTAGTTTTTTTCAATGCCCAGGATATTATAATGAATTTTCCATTCTTCTATCTATAAATATTATTCATCCAACTATTTGAACTGAATAGGCCTATAAATGAGTCACACAATCCATAAGGGGTTCATAGTTCGACCTATATTAGATTAGTCCTGACTTAATATAATTAGTAAAATAGAACATTTTGAGTTAAAAAAAGCCTATTTGAAAAATAGGCCACAAGTTTTTTTTTACAAATTTGACTTATAAGTTTTTTTGTTAGCTCATATCATATTATTTATTTAAAATAAAATAAATAAAAAAACTATTTACATAATTTTAAATAACAAAATAATATTATTTTAAATTTTTTTTTTTAAATTCTTGAAGACCTAATAAACTTAAGTAGGCTAATAGGCCTGCATCAGATTTTTTTGATTTTAAAATATTGGTCAGATCAAATTATTAATTTAACTTATATCAAGTTAATAAATTAAACTAAACTTAAAATATGTTATACAAACATGATAAGTTAAAATCTAGTCCAGTCTAACTCATTTACACCCTAATTGTAAAATGTTAAAATATTGTGTTTGTCCAATTGCTCAATATCTATCAAATGAGATTTAAATATTTTTGTTTTTTTTTAATTAACCAATATCCAAAATATGATCTAAAGAATAGTTCACTAATAAATTTATAGACCTAATAGTTGACTTGAAATTAATTGGTACTGCAACGACGTAAACAAAACGGCGCCCATCAAACAACTTTGTATCTATGATGCTTTTTAGCCTAATATTTTTATTCCTCACCGATTCTATTTCATAAAGGTTATTGACTTATTGACTTTATAACCCATAGGGTTTGTGTGCAACTTCAAAGTATATAGTCTTTGTTTAAAAAAAGAGAGAGAGTATATAGTCTAGTCACATGACTTTTCCCCTGAACACAGGAGAATTACGCCACCTGATTCGTGCACAAATTCAAAGGAAAAACTCCAGTCTTTATTTGATATTGTTCCCCATTACGGTAAAAAAATATTATCACATCCAAGGTTCAATTAAAATTCCAACAAAAATTGACCAATTAAAAAAAAAGCCCTATCCTAAAGTTCCTATATTGCAAGAAGTAAGAACAATAGAGAAGCTAGGCAGAATTAGTGGATCTTAACCTAATAATGATAAAATATTTTATACTAGTTTGTCTAATTTTTTTGTTCATATTTGAAGTAATTGACTTGTTGGCAGTAGCTACTGCAAATTGCTATCTAGTTTGGTCTCCACGCAACATGTTAGGGAAGCAATTAGGTGCCATTGCTTACTTTTCCACCCTCGTGTTTTGTCTCACTTTCTTGGAACCCACTTCCCCCACATTAATTGTAAATGTGTCTTATTAAGAATGAAACAAAAACAATGTTCACATCACTGTACCATTTTTCTTTTTACCATTTTGTAGATTTTATTTTGTTAGATAAATTGAAATTTGAGAGGATACAAGAGCATCATGGTAATGAAATTGGAGAATTCAAAATAGACTATGGAAGAGTCTTCTATGCTCGTTTGTAATGTACGAAAAACAGCATTAGATTGAGGAGCAATACAAGGGGAAGAAGTCATGAACATGGAAAAGCCTTTACAAACAAGTTAACATCATTATACGTTTCCCCAAGATATTTCATTTTTATCCTTCACTTATTAAAGATTGTAGTTTTCTTTACGGATTCTAATATAATAATGGTTCAAAATAGAATCACCCTTCCTCATCTGATCTTCCCATAACCATATATAGTTTTTAATTAAAGGATGTGATAAATTGAAAGCCTTATACCACAAGAATCGAAGTTTGTTAAAAAAAAGGAAACTTCCAAAACTATTTGCCATGAAATAAATAAGAAAGGGTTTTATTTTTCTTATGTTACTCATGCAACACACAAAAAGTGGGTAGGACCAATTAAAAAAAAGAGAAAGAAAATAAAAAAGTGAATCTCACTCACTTTTTTATGTGTTGCATGAGACAAAATTGTCTCATGCAACATGAGAAAAATAAAACCCATAAAGAAATGGTCACAACATAGATAATTTATTTTTTTTCTTAATTATAAAAAATTTCAATTTCATAATTATCCTTAAAAACAGTAACTCTAAATTAACTCTATCTAATTTGAGTATACGTGCAGCGTGCAGGTTCTCTTGTGCTATTTAACATAATCATGTTATGTGAGAGAATTCTAATTATTCATGGACAAATCAACGATGATGATTTTATCGTTCTCTATTCTAATACTTTTTCTCTCTTGTCACTCTTTATTACTGTTTTGCCCCTAAATAATTACGATCCTTTTATATATAATATGATTATATTAAATAACACGTGAAAGAATCCGTTTAGGATAAACTCTATTTCATAAAAGTTAAATTAAAAAGTTTAAACTGAGGATTGAATTCTAAGACTTGGAAGAATTTGAGGGGACCATGTTCATTGCACACATAGCTCCATTCTCCCTCTCTCTCACTCATAACTACAGAACCCAACCAACAAGTATTTTGAGAATAACATGTGTTGTGAAGAAAACAACAGAGCATAGAACTCCAATAACAGAATCACACCACAAGGAGTTGGAGAAAGCCTATTCAACTCAAGCATGGATAAGGAAAATGAGACATATGTGAAACTCTTCTGGGGTGGTTCTTATCATCATCAGAAGCGGTCTTTGTTTTCGAAGAAAGCCAAAGCTACAGCAGTTACCACCACAGTGATTGTGCTGTTTTGCTTCGTAGCCACTTTCTGTGCCTTTGCAGCCTGGAATGCTGTGAGTTATGCTAAACACGTAGCTTCTATATTTATTTCAGATACCATGCAAATATTTCTTTTTTCCCTCGTAATTTATATTATTGATTTAATTACCAATACCATGGTAGAAAAATAGAACAGGAACAGAGGAAGAGATCCTCTGCCTTTTGTTTGCATTCTTCTGTTTTTGAGTCTATACAATTGTATCATTAATAAATATAACTTTCACTCTTATCTTAGTTATTGATTTCATTTATATTTAACTGCTTTAAAATTTTAATTATGCGAGCCATTAAATAAATCAATAATAGACTTTTAATTCTTGCACCAATATAAAAATAACATATAGCGTATACATATAAGTTTATAAACCGTGGTTATTTTAAATTAGGGGAAGACAAGTTTTTATAAGGTTATGGAATAAGGAATGCCACCAACCTCAACGAGGGATAGGATTACATATCCGCAAACTTTTTTTTTATTATTATTTAATAAAAAAGTACAGAGATTGCAGTTTTTTTTTCCATGTATATATGCATGACTTTTTTTTTTTTTTTAAGGAAAAAAAAGTGGCATGAAGGTGAAGAAATTCTCAATTCCATTTTTTTTTTCTGTGGCATTATCAAACTTGACCAAAAGATGCTCGAAACTAGAAACTACCCTTTTATTTTATTTAATGGTATTACATAATGTAAGAATTTTTTTTTTTATTAATTGTTGATAGAGCATTAAAATTACATCAAGATCCTTTGATTCCATGTTGGAACCATTATGATTCCTAGTACACATGCTGGTGGCATATAATTCATCTAGGACCACAATTTTGCTTAATAATTTGATAGGAGTCTGATATTGAAATTGTTTTTGAAGTCCACATTTGCAGGTATGTCCATTCCAAACCATAACATCTCAGTTATCCATACACCCCAAAAACAAGAATATCCTCTTAGATGCACCAAAGGGGAGAATGTGACACAAACTTGTCCAAGAGACTACCCTACCTCACATAACCTCACTAATCATAGCCATCCAATGAAGCTAATGTGTCCCTCATACTTCAGATGGATCCATGAAGATCTAAGGCCATGGAGAGAGAAAGGGATCACAAGGGACATGTTGGAAGGGGCAAGAAGAACAGCACACTTCAGGCTTGTGATCCTAAATGGGAAGGTGTATGTGGAGAAGTATAGCCAGTCAATTCAAACAAGAGATATGTTTACTTTGTGGGGTATCTTGCAGCTTCTAAGATGGTACCCTGGCAAGTTACCTGATTTGGAACTCATGTTTGATTGTAATGATAGGCCTGTTATTCCAAGGGGAAGGTTTCAAGGCCCAAATGCTGCCCCACCACCATTGTTTAGATACTGTTCTGATCAATGGAGCTTAGATATTGTGTTCCCGGATTGGTCCTTTTGGGGATGGTAAATGCTAAAATAACTTCTCTTCTTCCTTACTTCCTTCCATTCACATGATGCCACTAATGAAAGGTTGACATTTTACATCTTGTTTATGACTTGGATATATTGATATTTTTTTTACTGCAAACACACAAATCAATATTTGATATGCTTCAATGTTCTACTAGTTATGTTAAAAATACATATATCTTTTAATAATACTTTTATAATACCTATAATAAGTAGTTTTTAAAATCTTTCATTTCATAGATAACCAAAAATGAAAGTATTGGAGTAAAAGAAATAAAAATGCATGCTTGGTAACACAAATAAAAGACATAAAGATGAATAAGAAAGATGATTTATTAAAACACTAAGTGTTACATTTAACTTCTGAAATTGCGTATAAGGATAATTGTTACAGGTACAATATACTTTCACTTTTTTCGTTATTTAATATTTTCTGACATAAGATCAATGAACATATTTTTTTTATTATTTCATTTTTCTATTAAAAATGTTTTCATTTCACATCGTTTTGCACATTATAATTTTCCATCTAGTTATACAGCACTTCTAATATGGATATTCTTAACTTATAATAGGGCTGAGACAAATATAAAGCCATGGAGAGGTATCCTTAAAGATATAAAAGAAGGGAACAAGAGAACCAAGTGGAAGGACAGAGTACCATACGCCTATTGGAAGGGAAATCCTTATGTGGCTCCAACTAGGAAAAACCTTTTGAAATGCAATGTGACAGCAAAAAATGATTGGAACATTCGCCTATACACACAGGTATTTTATTTTATCAATTCTGCACAAATTTTCCTTGTAATTCACATCAAAGACATAATTTATATATTGTATATATATATATATTTGTATCACAGGACTGGATACAAGAATCCAATCAAGGGTACAAGAAATCCAACTTAGAGGACCAATGCACCCATAGGTAGGTAATGTAAAGACCTCTTTAGCCATATTGAAAGCTATGGTTCCTATTCTATATGTATAAGTGTGTGTGTGTTTCTATATATATATATTTTCCATTCTGGGGAGACATAATGATATTTATAATATTTGGCTTGGCACAGGTATAAGATATACATAGAAGGATGGGCTTGGTCCGTTAGTGAGAAATACATTTTGGCATGTGATTCCATGAATTTATATGTCAAGCCTAAGTTCTATGATTTTTTCGTTAGAGGCATGGTACCATTACAGCACTATTGGCCAATTAGAGACAATAGCAAGTGCACATCTCTTAAGTTTGCTGTGGAATGGGGTAACAACCACACTGATAAGGTCAACATCTCTCTCATTTTCTTTTTAAGTATTTTTTTTTTTTTTGCCACATTCAAATGAGCTTGTCAGAACTATTATTGTATTTTTGTTGTGGATTTGCCTTGATATCATAAGTGTCATAAAAAATTATGTGCAAATTATTTGTGTCTTACTACATTACCTCAAATTACCAGGCACAAGCAATAGGGGAGGCTTCTAGCAAATTCATACATGAGGACTTAGACATGGATCATGTATATGATTATATGTTTCATCTACTGAATGAATATGCAAAGCTCCTAAGGTTCAAACCAACTATACCTCCAGGAGCTGTAGAGTTTTGTCCTGAAACAATGGCATGTACTGTAGATGGTATACATAGGAGGTTCATGGAAGAGTCAATGGTGAAGTTCCCTAGTGATTCAAATCCATGCACTATTCCTCCTCCATATGATCCTTTAACCCTACAAGGCTTTCTAGAGAGAAAAACTAATTCAACAAGACAGGTAGAAATTTGGGAAGATGAATACTGGCTGAATAAAAATAAGGGACAATAGTATTATTGGTAAGTTGTCATGTTTGATTTTGTGCAGATGAAGATTTTGTCAAGTTTTCTGTTATCTCTTGCTGTGAAAAATGGCCCTTGTATTAACCACATATCTTGTATGTTATACACATTATACATTCAAGTCCACATTCAAACACTGTTGGCGTTGTCTCTCATACATTCATTCTTAGCAGCAATTCACATTCTTCTTCTTCTGATTCCCTCCTGATTACTGTAAAACTGTAATTGCTCCTAGTTCACATGACTGGTTGGATTCAAAGCACTAAATCTAATAACTACAAGTTCCCTTTGTTCTGATATGTCTTTCATGGCATGAACCTGAACTTAAATCTGGACAGCTGCTTTGAAATTGATGATATTACTTGTCCATATCTCTGAGAAAACAGAAAAAAAATAAATGAAGTCTCTCTTCAGGAATATAGAAATGCATTAAGAATAAGCATCTTTATTAGAAAAAAAATATCTTCCCTCATATCCCTTTTTTCCCCCTCAATCTATACCTTACAACCCTATATGGTTGGTACCATTAAGAGTAACTAAAAAAAAGTAATCTGGAATCAGGTATAGGTGTCATCTTACACGCATATTATGATAAACCTCAGACAAGGGCACAGCTAGCAGTTTGTATTTGTGTGATACTATTATTTTTGTTCCTTCAGGCATATGAACCATGAAAAGCTTTTTGCATTCCTGAAAGAGAATCTTTGCAAGTCATTCAACCCCCAAGCTAGTCTCATATATAATGGTTTATAATCTCTGTTTATTCTTTCATGAAGATAATGTACCTTAGGGTATGTGACATCTGGAAGATAATATGGGTACATCCCAGAGTCAAAATATGACCTCCACCACACAGCTAAACAACCACCAATCTGCAACATGACAAAACAAATTTTAAGATTAGTTTTTTCCCTAGTCCATTTTTCCTTCTATATATTTTAGCACAAGTAGTATTAAGCATACAATCCTTTGGTTGCCATATTAACTGCCCATTTGGATGGATTTTTATTCATAAAAAGTTATTTTTTGTTAAAATAAAATTCTTTTGAGAATTTTTAGATGTTTGGATAACAACTTTTAAAAAAATAAAATTTAAATTTAAAATAAAAATTAAAATGCTACTTTTTTTAGCCGATAATTAATTGCTTTTGAAAAAAGCAGAAATTAAAAGATAACAAATTTTTTTTGAAATTTTTTTTAAAAAAAATACAATTTTAACCTCATCCTATCATACCTATTTTATCTCTCCTTATCCCACGATCATGGGTTTTTTTGACCCTTTTATCCTTCATTAATTAATTAATTAATTAATTAATAACCATTTTGTCCCTTATTCAAAACTATCTACCAATTTGTCCCTCTTTAATCGATTAACTTGAAAATTTAATCGATTAAATGGTCAAAACTGATAAAAAAAAAGATAACTTGAAGATTTAATCGATTAAATCTTCAAGTTAATCGATTAAATCTCCCAACTGACAACAAAGGTCAAATCTCCTCCCTAAACAAAAGCAGATTCCATGCATATGAAGCAAATCAACAAGCATAGATAACCAAACAAACAAAGAAACCAACAAAAGAAAAACAATTCTTGGAAACTGGATTAGTTTACATGAACAGGCCTGGCTTCATTTCTACCTCTCATATGAAAACCTTGCTTATTACATGAAAAATGGTGCGAAGTAATCCTATTGTCAACCTCGGAACGACGACAGCGATCAAGACGAACAACGAACCCTTCCCGTCTTGCAAATTCATCATAAAAATACTTAGCAGAATCTTCAATCAATTTTCCGTGTATTGGAGGTTATTTGAATTTTGAATTTTGAATTTTGAATTTAATGTAATAGGAGTTGATTGCAATTTGTATTTAATAGGAGCTGATTGCGTTTTGTATTTAATAGGAGCTGATTGTGTTTTGTATTTAATAGGATGCAATGAGCTCCTATTAAATACAAATCGCAATCAACTCCTATTACATTAAATTCAAAATTCAAAATTCAAATAACCTCCAATACCGTGTTCGTCTCATTCAATCAATGCTTTCACGCTCATTTGGGATATTTAATCGATTAAATCAATTAAGAGGGATATTTAATCGATTATATCTTCTAGTCAATCATTTTTGCCAGTTTTGACCATTTAATCGATTAAATCTTCAAGTTAATCGATTAAAGAGGGGTATATTGGTAGATAGTTTTGGATAAGGGGCAAAATGATTATTAATTAATTAAGGAAGGGTAAAAAGATCAAAAAGCCCACTGTCATGCTATTATATCTTTCTTTTATTGTAACTTTATACATAAAAAGTGCTTTTTTTTTGGTAAACATAAAGTGTTTTTTTTATTATAACACCCAAATAACTTTTTTTATATGTAAAATGCTTTTCAAATCATACATCCAAACGTCAAATAATTTTATGTTTTAAAAATGTTCTTTTATAAAAAACAATGCATAAAAAATTATTTTTGTAAAAGCTGATCCAAGTGGATCCTAAATATCCGGTCAACGATATGTACTATTTTGTAGAATAATGGGAAAAATGCGTGTCATTTTAAAGATGTAAAGTTGTGTCATTTTGTTATCAAAAAAAAAAAGTTGTGTCATTTTAAGAGAGAGAAAGAGATAGATAAAGGAGGAGAGAGTTGACAAAAAAATTAAAGATATGAGTCTCACCTTCTTGTGAGAGTGAAAAAATATAAATTATGTCATTTAAAAAGATAAACACTTATCGCTTAATTATAATTGTAAATCAGTTTTTAACGGAGGCAAATCAGCACCCAGTTTTCTTGTCAATATCCTCTTTGTTAAAATGAATATCTTTACAATATCTTTATTATATTATATATAAAGATTTATTTTTTTATTTCATCAAGATTTAGATTAGTTTGGGCTAAGCTTTATGTTGTAAATATTAGGTCTTTTTTATTATTAGTATTTGTTGTATTGGGCCAAGCTCGTTAGGTCAATAATTAAGTTTTTTAGTCTCTATAAATAGAGACCTCTTTGTATCAAATTAATACGCAATTCAATAATATTTCAAATACCTTGTCTTCTCTTTGAAGTCTTTATATATTATACTTTGCTAAATCAATTCAGTATTCAAATTTATTTCAATCTTCCTCTCATCTTGTTATTCCCACAAATTTGAAGAACCATGTCTGTTGCTGTTGCTGTGGCTGTGAGCGGAGTCAAGAGACGTTTCTTCGAAGATCTTCGTCCTTATCCTCCGCCACTCTCCAAGAGGCTTCGTTGCTCATCCTCCTCCTCTCGGATTCGGTTCCCTCCTCCCTCTCTCGTCGACCATCTTCGTCCTCTCTTTCCGAACATGGATGATCTGGTTCTTGAGAGAACTCTCCAAGAATGTGGCAATGATCTAGAAGCTGCCATCAATAGCCTGAACGAGCTTTCCTTGGGAACCGCGAATGCAAATTTTGGAACTCCTGAAGAATCGGAGGTTACTGTCAATGTGGACGAAGTTAAATTGGAAGATGATGGGAATGCTTCTGCTCCTGGGGATCAGCCCAACCTTCTTGCAGATGGAGCAGAATGGATTGTTAGAGAATTGATGACTGCTACCAGCGTTGATGATGCTATAGCCCTGCTAGAATGCTGGCCGAGGCAACATACCTTCTTCAAAAGGAAATTTTGATGCAGAAGGAGCAAATTGAAGGGTTGAGTAGGGATAAAAATACTTTTAAAAAAAGCTTTTTAGTGGAATTTTTTTTTTTTTTTTTTTAAAAATATAATTTTTACAGATAATTTGTAAAAATTAAAAATTTTAGTTTTCCGAAAATCCTAAAAAATACCACGTCCCAAATGTCCCCTTAACGCTGTACAAGTATCCCATAAAGGATATGTTGTTGTTAAGGGATGGTTTCTGTTTCCTATAGTTCAGGAGCGATTCTATCCTATCGAGTATCATCCCGTTATAGAATTTGACATTATAAGTGTTGTCAATTAATTCAAATATCCATAATCGATTTTTTTTTGTAGCATTTATATTTTCGTATTATTGTCAACACCGAGCACTGAGAATGTTATCAGCGTGGTACCGTGATAATTGACTATTGGAGGAAGTTTCGATATTAGTAGAATTGAATTTTACCGTGATATAATATGTAAAAGCTATAATAAAATATTATCTATATCGCGAATAATTTTCGACCCTTCAATTTCTATAATAGTCAAACAATACAAAAGATAGTTAGATATGTGCGTGTGTGTCAATCTCTCTCTGTGTGAGTGTGCATTTGTACATGAGAGAGGGAGAAAGAAGACATATATAGGATCTGGATACAAATTATACCGTTTTCTCCACAAATTATAATGCAATTTGTGAAAGGTGTCATGTGTTTGCATAAGAACAATATAGGGATGACCATGTTGATGCACCTTGGATTTTGAAGCCAATTATTCAAGAAAATGAAAGAGTATAATATGATCTAAATTGGGTTCATGAGATGTAACTCTTGTGTAATGAATTACAATCTAATGTATTATTGGTTGAATTAACCAAAAGAAAAAAGAACTACGCTTAGTACATTTGAAAAAAAATTAACAACATTAATAAAATGCTGCCAAACTGTTGGAACAAAAATTCAGAATGGCAAGTTTAGTATGGCCAGTATTTTGAAGCCCTGTGCAACATGGAAAACATGCTTTCATCCTTATGACAAACAGATGATATGCTTTAGCCAAAATTGTGAAGAGTCACCTCTCAAATTAGACAACAAATGAGACTTAGTATATACATATTTTTATTCAGAGAACTCAAGTACAATTGAAAACAGTATAATAATTCATATTAAGTATATTATTCAGTGATTGGTAAAAGTTTGTCATTTATTTTCATTAAAAATAATATATTAAAAATGAAATTTGGACTGTTCATTATCTGATTCATCAATCGAAGAAACATGGTGAAGTAATGATAAATACTGACCAATAATACTCCTTCAACTATTGTCCTTATGCCCTTTTGCCCTTTTGCATGTGGCTGTCACATTAAAACAGAGAAACCAAGTTTAACAGATAATTGCAATATGACATGGAAAGGGAATCAAGTTGGTCATTGGCAACTCATTGAATATAGCTGCTCAAGTGCCCCTAAAACTAGCCACCAATCCTCTTCATTACTCACCATCATCCATAAACCGTGAATGTTCGGCATATGATTTAATCAAGTTTAAAAGATTGGAATAGTTCTAAAGTCTCCTATATCTCCCAAATTCTCTCTGAATTTTTATCAAATATTCTCATATCATATATATATATATATATATATATATATATATATATATATATATATATATATCTACTATTTTCTAATTATATAAAATGAAGCATAATTCTTTAATCATATTTTTTAGTTCATTCAAAGAGCTCCATAATAATAATTTAATAATTCAATTTTTTAAATAACACATGTACATTACTAGAAGATAATAAAAAGAGTCATAAGAGAATGAATTTAAATTAAATTCTGAAAATAATAATATTAAAAATATTAACTTTTAAGAAAAAAAAAGACAAATTTCTTGCATTAAATTTTTTGTTAATACATTAAAAATGTTCAATACGATTTTTAAATTTTGCTTAATTTTCCATCAAACATTAAAAAATATTCTTATTTTTTAATTCAAGACTAAAATACATTTGAACATAAATTGAATGAAATAAATTAAAAAATTTTAATAAAAAATTTGCTACCAAAAATGATTACATAATTTAAGGTGATTTAAATTATGTTGCTACAGAAACATTTAAACACATACTACAAAATCTAAACAATATTATAACATATTTTAAAAGATTAGAGGATTAGACCAACAAAAACCTTTGACTCGAAAGAAAAAAGATTAAAGCTGACAGCAACTGTTTCTAGCAAGGAAATAAGGATAAAGCTAAGTGGGTCCCATCAAGAAAGTACACTCCAAAATCTCATTCTGATCATCACTTCTCAGTCGTTGATTTCACTATCTGAGAACCGACATTATAGTTGAAGAGCTCCATCACTCATTGCAATTGGCAAGGCTTTTCAGGTACCCTTCGTTTTGCATGCAAATGAAAATGTTCTTTTTGTGATGTTTTTATGGTACATAATCCAATCCCTTTTATGAAAAATTTGTACCCTTTGTTTTGCATTAATTCAGTTTCTTTCTATAGAGATATATTGATAGGGCACTTGGGATGGAAGATGAAGTGATGGAACCCCAGGATTGTGAAGATATTCATAATTGTTTGATAAAGCTGGTTAATTTACTGTTCCTTACCTTTGTTTATCTTGAAAGTTATTGTCTTTAATGCAAAATCAAAGCCAATTGAAAAGTTAACTATGTGGGTATTACATTTACATTACAGAGAAGTAGTCCCCAAAGGAGAAGGGATAAGGTTTACATTGGGTGTGGAGCAGGGTTTGGTGGTGACAGGCCTTTGGCTGCTCTTAAGTTGCTTCAAAGAGTCAAAGAACTAAATTATTTGGTCCTTGAATGCCTGGCAGAACGTACTCTAGCTGATCGTTATCAAATCATGGTGTCTGGTGGTGATGGTTATGATTCTCAGAGTATGTGTTTCTTGTTCAAAATAAATTATCAAGTTTCATTTTTTTTCCCCACCTTTTAATTTAAATATGTTTTTGATACATCAGTGCAATATTCATTCCTTCTGGGTGTTACCATCAAATTTTCCAATTTTTCTGTGTTTATTTGTTTATTTAATGTTATTTATTTTATATATTATATTTTCTTAATTTGTTTTTGCTTTTGTATGTCGACCAAACTACATTGGGATAAAGATGATGTTGATATCTAATGTAGATGTAGGTATAATTTCTATGGTTCTTTTTCAGATAGGAAACTTAAACCTATATATATATATTGGAAAACAAGTATGTTTTTGTTTCTATTATTTGAAGGCATTTGATATTGAAGGCATTTGATATTGAAGTCATTGGAGCTGCGGTGGACCGGTGGTTTGTTTCGTGCTCTTGCATTTCTCTAATCTTAAGTTGCTGATTGTTGTAAAATTTTATCTGCAGTTTCTAACTGGATGCATATGCTGCTGCCTCTAGCTTTGGAAAGAGGAACTTGCATAATTACCAATATGGGTGCTAGTAAGAATTTTTAATGTTACATTAATGGATTGTGTAATAATTGTTGATTATATGAAGATATTATATGTTTAACAAAATTTTGTGTAATGCATTTATTTGGTTTGAGTTGATAGACTATATCGTTTCTCACATTTGTTTGTCTAACTTCATTCATTCTTTGTTTCTAAAAGTGGATCCTCTGGGTGCTCAACAGAAGGTCATTGAAATAGCTAGCAGCCTGGGACTTAATGTTTCTGTTTCTGTTGCTCATGAGGTGTCTATAAAAAATTTAGGTATTTAGATTTCCCTATTAACTTTCCTTTGACCTATGTTATTGTCAAATTTTAAATGAATGTTTTAATTGTGTGTGTGGGAGGGGTGGGGTGGGGGTTTAAATACCAACTAATTTCCAAATCTGTTTACTTGTCTCTGGAATTTGTTTTTACCTACTGTTACAACTTCTAGCTTTCATTTTGTTTGATGTATATTGTGTGATCCCTCCTTTGGTAGGTCCTTGTTAGATGGATCTGCTATAATTGGATGGTATGAAGAGTGTTACTTCTCTCTAATATAGAAACAAACAATAGGGTGTCCTAGTAAAGAGGTTTTCCTGGTTAAAAGAATGACAGTTATTATGAGCTCTAAAAAGGCATATGCTTTTATTTATTTATTTTTAATTTTTTTTTTCTGTCTTTGCCTCTTAGCAAGGTGCCTGTCTGAAATTGTTGATGCATCTGGTTGTACTATCCTGCTACCTTATAATATATTTATTTTGCTGAAAGAAAATAAACTGTTATATTTTCTTAGTATTCTCCGTGCTAAGTTCTGCTACTGATATGTACATACAACATTTTTCAGGTTCAGGGTTTTCACCAGCAAAATCATATATCATGGAGGGTGTAAGAATCTGTTCTCATGTGGCTGTTTGTGTTCATATATAAAGTCATTCCCTAATTAATTATTTCTTTTTGTTTCAACTTTGTGGTGTATTAGCAACCAATTTATGGGCAGCCCTTCACCAGACTGTGCAAAATGGCATATTTATTTTCCTTCATACTTGTTTTATCAAGTGATGTCATATGACAAGTTTAATTTTTACCCCATTTTTTGGTTATCTATTTACTGATTGTCATATGAAGAATTTTAGTAATTGTTAGATGTAAAATCATTCATGAGTATTCACCTAGCAGCATAAGCTTTTGGAATAGTTGGTTATTAATATGGTATTAGAGCCTTTATGATCAATATGATTGAGCGGTCAGGAGTTTAATTCTTGTTGCCCTCATTCTTCTATTAAAAAAAAAGTTGAATTTCTTGATAAGGTAGTTGGTCATGGATGTTAATAATTGCTCCTGTAATTTTTCTTCACTTATTGACTTGTAAGGCTGCATTCTGATTTACTTATTGAACTAAGTGGAGGATTCTATCAATCTATCCCCCTTTGGTTATCTGTCAATAATATTGTCATATGCAGAATTTGATCAAATTTAGTTATGCATGCATGCTTTCTCCACTTTACTTGACTTTTGTTAAGCCGGATGTGAAATTTGGCTGTAATATGCGAAGGGTATCAGCACCTACTTGGGAGCCACTTCTATTGTTCACTGTCTTGAAAAATACCAACCAAATGTAATAATTACTTCAAGAATTGCAGATGCTGCTTTATTCTTAGCTCCTATGGTACGAAATCTGATCTATTCTTTCCTTCATATTACCCATCTTTGCCTCTTTCCTCCATCAATGCCTGGTTTTTAGTAACTGAATGCAGTTTTCATATGGACAATATTGCTTTTTACAAGGTATATGAAAGTTTATGAAATTTCATTTGGTACTTGATTTTTTATTTTAAGCAGGTCATTAGAGATTCCATTAACTTAGGCCTACATAGGATAACTTTTCTCAGAAACACTTTGCTTGTGCTCGTAGAGTGAGATTCAAATGATGAATCACAGCACATGGAGTCATCTCCTTAGCTTTCTTTCAATAAAAATATGGTAGACGGAATGATATACATATATTAGCCTACCGCTTTTTTCTTGAAAGATAAGGAGATGGCTTTGTTGATAATGATTCATTATTTGGACTACGTCTAAACCGTTGAGTAACTACTCATGGAATGGGATTTTTATCAATCCAGTCACTGAATCATGAGTAATTACTTTGCTGATCTTACATATTAAGTATTACAGAAATTGAACTTTCATACATAATTGATTAAATTTTTATCCGCTGGTGGTGTTAGATATAAAAATCATTCATATTTCTTCACTTAACAACTTAAGTTTTTCACAGAGTTGGTTCATGACATGGTATTAAAGCCTCTATGACCAAGTTGTCTAGAGTTCGATCTTTCCCATCCTCATTCTCTAATTAAAAATTGAATTTTAGAAAAAGGTAGGTTGGACCTATGCATTGTCCATGATTCACGCCCTAATGACTCTTGAGTTTGGTGATGTGTGTCATGTCATCACCTAATAGCTTAAACTTTTAGGATAGTTGGTTTATGACTGGTGGAATTTGTTGAAGTAGCTAAAGACACGCACACATACACAAACACTTAAAAAAGTGATTTGCGGTGCGAATTGTATTTTTTTTCCCCGTACTAGGAGTTATCACCTTAATTAACATTTTTTTTTTCCGGAAAATTATAGACATTTTCTGTGGAGCATATTACATTTTTTTTTATAATGTGCCAAATATCTTAGATTGTACAATACTATTAAGCGAAAGATAGGATCAGAAGAGCTGTTGTTTTTTGTTTACTCTGTAGCGTAGTTATCTGTTGGACAAAATTCTAAATGATCATGCCGGTATATTGGTAGGTTTATGAACTAGGTTGGAACTGGGATGAATGGGAGCATCTAGCTCAGGGATCCTTGGCTGGGCATCTTCTAGAGTGTGGCTGTCAACTCACAGGGGGATATTTCATGCATCCAGGTCTAATATAGCTTAACTCTACCCTTGAGTATGGTTTGAGATATAAGTGCATGGGTTGTGTTAATAAGATGATACTCTTTAAGCTTTATCTATCTTGTTTGTTTTAGGAGACAAGTACCGTGAAATGTCCTTCCTGCAACTACTGGATTTATCACTTCCTTATGCTGAAATTTGTTATGATGGACAAGTGTGTGTAGCAAAGGCTGAAGGTAGTGGGGGAGTTTTAAATTTTAATACGTGTGCTGAACAATTACTCTATGAGATTGGAGACCCTGGTGCTTATGTGACCCCTGATGTAGTAAGTTAGATGTTTGTTATGAAGCACAGGACATCAAGGATTTATGACTAGAGGGTAGAATACACAAGAAGAACTCATATCGTGTTCTTTAACAGGTCATTGATTTTCAGGATGTTTCATTCCTTCCATTATCTAGCTGTAGAGTTCGCTGTCTTGGGGCAAAACCATCTACTATATCAGTTCCTGATAAACTTTTGCAGTTGGTTCCAAAGGTACTTTTCTGTATCATTCCTCTTCACAACATGTACTTATTTATATCATTCTCTTTTGTGTGATCTTCTTGAACCCCTCTGTATCTGTTCCTAGATTGCATTTTTATTTTTATGATTGTTCTTCTTCGAAGATCCCTCGGCTCTGATGCTCCAAATACTTACTTACAGGATTGTGGATGGAAAGGATGGGGAGAGATATCTTATGGAGGTTACGAATGTGTTAAACGTGCTAAAGCTGCTGAATATCTGGTAACCTTCACAGCCTTATCATCACCAATTAGATCTGTGATCTTGATTCATTTTTTCTTAAATTTATGTTGATTCTACTGCTTGATAAGACTACTAGGTACATCAAGCTTACTATCAATTGATATATTATTCATATGTTTCCTTAGGTTAGATCATGGATGGAAGAAATATTTCCTGGTCTTAATCACCATATACTTTCTTATATAATTGGGTTTGATAGCCTCAAAGCTGTCAGCAGCAGTGAAGATGTGTCACCAGAGAGGACTAGTGAAGATATTAGGTTACGCATGGATGGACTTTTTGAGCAGAAGGAACAAGCTGTCCAATTTGCTAGAGAATTCACAGCATTGTATACAAATGGACCAGCTGGTGGTGGTGGTATCAGGTCAATGTTCCTTTAAGTTTGGCACTGCATACTTTTAATTAAAATTCTGAATGGTCAGTTTTAATACCTGAGAGAATTATAAATCTGTTAAATTGGCAATTAATAATTTTTTTTTTGGAAATATTCCAATCAGTTCATCGCTTCGCAACTAATCCGATTCAGGGCGGGTCCAACAATTAATATTTTTTTAATTTGATGATTACTGGTGAAACCTTAAAATTTCTTTTGAGGTTTCTCTGAACTTGCTGGTAGATTTCCACTTCACTTTGGATTATCAGATTCTGGACTGGGTATTTGAATTGCAATGTACTTGAAGGTTTCGTTTCAATTGTTATAAAACACTTCCTACTAAACCTCGACCAGCGAGGGTAGAGTGAGGGCAATCCTTGCATGCAGTTTGCAAAGAGGCTCTTTCCTGGATGTTTTATTTCAATTGTTATATTTGTTAGAGAATAATATAAATCATTAAAAAGGCCCTTACCCAACACCTTAAGGTTTTGGGTTGAGATGTGGTGTCGGACTCACTTGGTGTATTTGGAGTAGCTTAGCCCATTGGTGGTGGTCCCCCGCCACGGGCTTCCCCTGGACCCGCCTGACAATGGTATCAGAGCCGGGTTGGGCTTGAGCTAGCCTGGTGATTGGCTAGGAGGCGGGTTGAGTACTTTGCGCTTGGGGTACTCGGTTGAGGAGGAGCATATTAATGTTGGGTTTCACACTTGAGAGGGAGATTGTTGAGATATTCAAGTGTGATGAGTCCCACATTGGTTGGTAATGGGCTAAGTGAAGAGTATATAAGTGGAAGGACCCATGAACCCAAAGCCTTAAGGTTTTGGGTTGAGATGTGGTGTCGGACCCACTTGGTGTATTTGGAGTAGCTTAGCCCATTGGTGGTGGTCCCCCGCCACGGGCTTCCCCTGGACCCGCCTGACAATGGTATCAGAGCCTGGTTGGGCTTGAGCTAGCTCAAAGGATAGGAGTGCCCAAGGCCTTATAAACTCCACATTAGTTGCTCATACAACCAATGTGAGACTATATATCTCAACACGCCCCCTCACACGAGAGCCCATTGGGCTAGAAGCGTGGATATTGCACAGGCCCAATTTTTGGTTTACCTTATTGTGCTTTTTATTTTAATTCCACTTTAAAGTGGGGGCGGTGGGAATCGAACTTGTGACCTTATAGTCATGATACCATGTAAAAAACCAATTCAACCCAAAAGCTTAAGCTTGTGGGTGAGGACTTTTTTAATGATTTATATTATTCTCTAACAATATTAAAAACAAAAAAACATTATACTAATTATTTGGGAAACTCCAATTGTAAATGAAGTTGTAACAAAAAGTTGAAACTGGGTTGTTGAACTCTGAAGAGCAAGTTATGCTGTACTCATAATCTACATACTATTTATTCATTGCTGCTGCAAATGCTGTGATATTTGATGCCAAATATTCTTTCTGCTGACTGTTAGTGATATATCTTTTTGTTTGAATGCAGTACTGGATATAAGAAAGAGATTCTTCTAGAAAAACAGTTGGTACTTTCTTCTTCCCCTTCCTCTCTCACACTTGTGTATATGCATGCATTAGGACTGCACTTACACACATGGATCAATAAAATCCGTTGAGCTCTATCAAAAACCAAATTTTCACTAAAACAATTTAGTGCAAATTCTTCTTTAATAGGATAAGGCTTGGATGTTGAGAACTTTGAAATTATTGGTCAAACTGATCCCTCAATCTAAGACACGTGAAATTATCTTTCTGAGCTGAAATCGGATAATGAACTAAGAGGCCGTTTGGTATGCAGATTCTTTTTGTTTACCTGGGATAGGGAGATCGGCAACATGGGTTACCCATGTTTGGTTGCAGATAAAGCACAAGTTTGCCTGATAAATTATTGTCCCGTTTTTTTGTTTTATATGTGATATAATGTACAATTGATGAGAGAAGTTGCCCATCAAGAATATGGGTATCACTGTTACCGGGAAGTGAATCCTTAGGCGCCAATAAAAAGACCAAAATAACCCACTTTTGTACGGAAAGAGAAGATGGTGGATTGACATGCTATATTGTAAAATATTAAATTTGAACGAAAAAGTAAATGGGGGTTATTTTTGTAAAATAACTCCCTTTCCTACTACTATTACATAATCAACCAAACATCAACTCAGAAAATTTATCAAAATATTCCAGGTAAAATTTTGGTCAACCAAACACATTTTTATAAATTTTCCAGAATAAATTATTTCCAATCACATTCCGGCGAAATTAGTTTCCCAGTAACCAAAAAATTTCTCTCGTACCAAACGCCCCCTAAAAACATTAATGAAACTTGTGATTTCTTGACAAACAAGTTTGTTTTGGTTGCAGTGCTAGTGATCTCACTGCAAGTTTCATTACCATGCTGCTAGAACTATTCATCATAGCTAGGTTTTTCTTCAGGTTACGCGTGAAGATGTTTTCTGGCGAACCGCGATGAAGAGGAACACAAGAAGCCAGTCAAATAAAGTAGTTGATCCTGAATGCAATCTGAGACAAACATTGACATTGCCACCTAAGTTACAAGATGAAACTGACAAATCCTCAACAGAATTTGTTTTCCCTGATAGGAGTTGCTCATCTGCTCCATCTGGCCAGAAGATTCCACTTTACAATGTAGCACATAGCAGAGCTGGTGATAAAGGAAATGACATAAACTTTTCCCTTATCCCACATTTTCCTCCAGATATTGAGAGGCTGAAACTAGTTATTACATCTCAATGGGTAAAATCAGTGGTCTCACCTCTTCTGGATTTGTCCACTTCTCCTGATTTAGATGCAAGACATCAAAGAGATAAATGGGTCAATGAAAATGTTGAAGTGGAGATATATGAAGTTAAGGGAATCCATTCATTGAATATTGTTGTCAGGAACATCCTAGATGGTGGTGTCAACTGTTCTAGAAGAGTTGATCGGCATGGAAAGACCATTTCAGATCTCATACTATGCCAACTAGTTGTGTTACCTCCATGATCAAGTGACTTTCTAGTAATATATATGTAACGACCTCGAAATTATTTAGAAAATAAAAAAACAATGGATTCGTCACTAATTTTATTTAATTTGAAAAAAAAATGGAAAACCTTATATTTTAGCAAAATTAGTCTTTGAATCAAGGTTTGAGAGGCTAATTATGTACTGGGAGGGTGAAAATTTAATCTTACTGCATCAGTGATATATCCATTTGGAAAAATGGTTGCATTAAATTAATTATCCAAATTTTTAATAATTTTAGAGTATTTGCTTAACCCAAATAAAACAAGATGAATAATAAAATTATTTATAATAAAAGAAAAAGAAAATCAAATTATAAAAGTTTCACTCTAAGCTTGACGGAAAAATTTCGCTCTGACATATTCTCTGCTGCAATGAGAAATTCAAAGCTACGTTGTTCTTAAAAGTATTTGTTGGTTTTGTTAAATTTATAATTTTGAAAGTTAGCTCACAATTGCATAGGGTATAAGATAGTATGATTATTGTAACATCCTCGTCTCGAGCCGGTTCAATTAACATGCATATGATATAAACAGAAACAGCGGAAGACTTAACTTACGAAAATATGAGCTAACTTTTTCTTTTTCTAACTTAATTCTTACTCGGCGTAAGCGAAAATCGGGCAGAGTTTCCTCTATAAATCGGACAACTGGGGATTTTCCAATCCCATTCAGAAGCATTTCCTGATAAACAGTTTATACAGCACATCTATCCAGAAGTACCAGTCATGCAAATATAATCAGATACCCATCCATGGGCGCATGCATAACTTGGCTCAGTGCCGCTAATCTAACAGCATGCAATCCAATACATAAACATAATTGAATACTACATCATCATATAACGTGCCTGAATACTCAAATGTACATGCATCAAACTGAAATACTACATCATCATCAGACATGTACAAAACATCTACAGGCCACATACAAAATATAGGATCTAACATCATGATCCACAAAATACGAAAATACTAAATGAAGGTACTATACTCCAAATAAAAGTAGTCTACAGCTACTCAAAATCCAATCAGTCCACTGCCTCAGCCACATGTCGCGTCCCTGCCTAGTGAGGACTCACCGGGAATCTGGGCACCTGAAAATATGTCCCCAACGAGGGGTGAGATTACAAATCTCAATAAGCTCCAGGTTTATAGAGAATTCTCCATACCCCTGGCTCACTCCTGCATGAAAGTTAGATACAGAGTATACGAATACAACATATAACAGATATCATAACAGAACAGAGCATATATCCATATCATATCAGAGATGTGCGTCGTCATTCCCAAGGGAGGACCCCAAGCGGAAATTAACGCACGTGTTCCCGAGGGAGGACCCCAAAGCGGAACCAGACATATCAAAGATGTGCGCCGTCATTCCCAAGGGAGGACCCCAAGCGGAAATCAACGCACGTGTTTCCGAGGGAGGATCCCAAAGCGGACATCAGGGTACTATACAATCAATGGCCAGAGATTGTTACAGAAATCATATTACAGAAGTCATATCAGAGCAAAACATATCATGTTATCAAATAACTCTATATGAATGCATCTATACAAAGCATCTAAATAACAGTCATACAGTCCAACCATAGTTCACTAACCATGGTGGATCACTCAAGCAGGAAAAGACTCCTTAAACATAGAGCTTACATCTTGAAGCTTTATCAATCTGCTTACTTGTGACACAAGTTACTTTTATATCTTCAAGAGATTTTGATCCTTTTCAGTCCCTAGGTACACCTAGAGCAAGAATCCACAAATATAAATTAATAAATGCCATCATGCCTAGCTTTCACATAAGGCATACATTTTATCGTTTCTTTTCGTTTCTTTATGTTTTTGCCAATGTTATGTCAATACACAAGTCTAGACCACCTTATACTCGTTAGGATTTCCTTAATTTAATCAAGTGTTCACTTGAGAATTTTCAACATAATTCATGCCATTTTCTCTAAAAGGTCGTGAACCTACCTTTAGGAACTCAATGTATTTTTCAACTCTTATTCAAACCATTTCACTTCTTAACTCATCAATTTTATACAATACATTACAACACATTTTATTAAAATAAAATGTAACAAAATATATTCCTAAGCCACCCTATAGGTCGAACTCCACAAGGCCGTAACATAGAGGTATGGTCCTTATGATTTTTCCTCTTTTAAGGATCCTTACTAATTCATCATTTTTCTACTTATTACTACACTCTACACTTCAAAATACATGAATTACAATTTTTCATATCCTCCCCTCTTCACCCTCTCATGGCCGAAACATCAAGGGGATACCACACAAGGGATTTTTTTTTTTATATTTAACACATGTAAACATGCTTATTCCACAAGCTTAAATACCCAACATCAAAAATCTATCATCACATTACCTTTCAAACTCATTCCTTTCCCACCCAACACATGCTTACAATTTTTATGGCTCACAACATCAAAACAATGCCATGGAAATGGAGTTTTATTACCTCCAATAGCTTGTACAAGGTCTAGGGAGCCATCTCCAAGAAAAACTCCTCTTAAAATACACTTTCTTCTCCTTGATGAATAGTGACACGAAAATTGAGGGAGGAAGAACTCTTCACACACTCAACTATGGCTCAAATTGATAGGTGGGATGGATTCATTGGACTTTTTCCTATGATTTTCATGTATGGATCAAAGGATTTGGATGAGTATTTAGGGAGAAATCAAAGGAATAAAAATCAAAGCCCTAACCCCCTTCTTCCAAGGTGCAGCTCGGGTTTGTGAGGGATGAGAGGAGAGAGAAACTGATTTGGATAGTGAGACTTGAGTGACTTGGTCTTTTAAGCACATGTGGCTTTTTAGCCGGATGTTTTTCTATCGCATATTTTAACTTAACGGACCCGGAACTAACTTATAGCTACAGACATATTTTTATTTTTCTGAACTCATTTACATAAATTTTTATTTCCTAAGGAATCATATTCATGATTTACAGTACCGTTTCTGCACCGTTTTTGACGAAATGCACTGTGGTTCATTAATTATGAACTGTTTGCATCAGAAACTTAAAACTTATAAACTTATCATTTCCTTGGGCCCATGTTGACTTGTTTGGCATATATTGGACTTTCTTATTCTTATTTCATCAATTATTTGCTTCTGGACTCTACCGGTTGCTTAAACAGCAGTATAAAATACCCGGTAGAAACACTATTCACGAGATTTTCACGGAAAGTGCCAGACTATACAATTTTTCGTTCTAAACTCATATTTGTTGTCAGAATTGTCAAATTATGTTTCTAAAATCATTTTGCTCATTTAAGCTCTACCGGTTAATTCACAAAACTGTAAATTCTCCGGCGGAACGCACTGTTCATAACATAGTCATGATTACAGTCAAAATACTCGAAATCGCTCACTGAATCTAATTATGGCATTTAAATCCTTAAATTAAATCTCTAACTAAGATTTACCAGTTAGGGTCATTATAATTATATATATATATATATATATATATATATATATATATTATATATATATCCTTACGAATCATACGACACTTGAGGGTGGCCAACCACGCAATCAATGTTATAGATTGTCGCGCGAATTAATAGAAGTTTAAAATAGATTTATTAAGACATATATTGATTGTAAAGAAATTGATAAAGAATTATGTTTCGAAATTAAATCCGCATTTGCAGAATCCAAGATAGCATGACTGTACAAAGACTCGTATGAATAGACAACGCTTGAGGATGACATGCCATACAATCAACTTTATCGATCATTGTGTAGATTATAAGAAATATAAAATAGATTTAATGAAACATGTTTTAATAACGGAGAAATTGATAAAGCAAACTGTTTTGAAATTAAGCCACATTGCATGGAATCCAAGATAACATGGCTAACACGAAGTATGAACAAACAACGCTTGAGAATTGTGAGTCATACAATCAACGTTGTCGATCGTTGCATGAAACACAAGAAATTTAAACCAAATTTAATAAAATGTATTTCAATAACTGAGAAATTGATAAAGTAAACTCTATTTTGAAATTAAGCCACATTGCACGGAGTTCAGGATAACATATCTATACGAAGACTCTTATAAACAGACAACGCTTGAGGATGGTGAGCCATACAATCAACATTCCAAATTGTTGCGTGAAGCACAAGAAATTTAAACCAGACTTAATAAAATGTATTTTAATAATGAAGAAATTAATAAAGCAAACTCTATTTTGAAATTAAGCCACGTTGCACGAAATTCAAGATAGCATGATTTTACGAAGACTCTTACTAATGGAAAATGCTTGAGGATTGTGAGCTATACAACCAAAGTTGCCGATCGTCGTGTGGTACACAGAAAATTTAAAATAGATTTCACAATTTCAATTTATTGTCTCTCTTTCTCTCTTTTTAAAAATAATTATCAAAGATAAAATGAGGAAGTATATTTACATAACTTAGCAATTTAATAATAAAGCTACATTAGCTAATTAGAGTATCAACTATCTAAATCATCTACCCATGAAATTAAACAAAACAAAAAATAATCCCTTTTATTTTATTAAAAATAAAAGAACAGTAAACTCAATATATAATTTTAAAATAAAGCAACTAATCAACTAATAACAAGCTATACATAGACAATCTAAAAATTTCAACAGTATCGTCATATTTTGTTTTGTTAACACATCATGCCATAAAAAAAACATAACATATTATATCTAATTACGAACTAAAAATGAAAATTTCTACGCCCTTTACACATCTTGTTTATTTATTATTTTTTTATTTTTCTTGTTACCCCTCTCAACTACTTTCATTCCCAAGCTCCAACTTACTCATTTATATCTTTTTATTATTTTAATATTAGGGTTTGATGTTTGTCATTTTAAATGACATAAGTTATGTCATTATAGGAGAGAGATAGACACAAGAATCATGGGAGAGAAAGTGAGTGGTTTTTTTTAATTTAAATTTTAAATAAAAAAATATTATTTTGTGTCTATCTCTCTCTTAAAATGACATAACTTTATGTCATCTAAAATGACAAACACTTTTTCCTTAATATTAGGCTTTAATGTTTTTAAAATGAATGTAGATAAGTTATCTACATTCGCTCCCGAAACGACGTCGTTTTGGTTGAAAAATTAAAAAATTATAATGAAAAAGACTATTATAACCCTGAAATAAATTATAATTACAAAAATACCTTAATTTTCGCCGCAAAACGATGTCGTTTTGAACTCAGTGTAAATAAGTTATTTACATTAACTGTAGAAAAAGCGAACCCTAATACGTAAACTAATTTCCTAACCTAACAGGAAAAAAAAGTGTTACCGTAAAACTAAGGGGAAAATGTTTGTCATTTTAAATAATATAAAGTTATGTCATTTTAAGAGAGAGAAAGACACAAAATAAATTTTTTATTTAAAATTTAAATTAAAAAATCACCTACCTTTTCTCTTCCATGATTTTTATTTTTTGTGTCTATCTTTCTCTTAAAATGACATAACTTTGTGTCATTTTTAATGAAACTACGTCATTTTGATGTGTTTTGTCATTTTCTCTAATTTATAAAATTAAAAATAAAAATAAATGGAGGAAAGAGAATGTAAAAACACACCAAAACGATGTAATTTCATTAAAAAATGACACAATTACGTTATTTAAAATGACAAATCATAACGACAAACATTTTTCCCGTATTTTTTGCAAAGGAGAAATAAATAAGCATCAACCAATGTAATGTTACAGTCGCCAATATGTTCAATCCTGTAAGGGTGTGCATGACAACCATTCTATTCCCTAGCACTGTTTCTGAAAAGAAACAATTCTTTTCTATTTCTGTGCCATGGAACAGTTTCTAAGAAAAAAAAGTGTTTGATAACATGTCCTATTTTTGTTCCGAGAATGAGAATTGTGTTTGATAACACAACAAATAATATAATAAAAAATAATTCCTATTAAATATAAATAAATTCCGGATCATCACTTTCCTTTTCACATGGTGTGGTTGTGGTGGTGGCGGTGGTGACAGCGACGGTGGTAGTGGTGGGGATAGTGGTGGTGGAGGTGACGACAGTGGTTGCGACAATGGTGGTGGGTATGGTGGTTGGTGGCAGCAACAATGGTAGCAGTGACATGGTGGTGGTTGTGAAGGCATCATGGTGGTGGTGGTGGTAGTGGCTGCGGCGGTGGCGGTGGTGGTAGGTGACAATGGTGGTGGTAGTGGTGGCAATAACGTGGTGATGGTAGTGGCGGGGGTGGTGTAATGGTGGCGATGGTGGTGGTGACGGTAATGGCAGTGACGGTGGTGGTGGTGGTGGTTGGCGGCGGCGGCAACGACGACGGTGATGATGACGGTAGTGGCTGCGGCAATAGTAGTGGTGATTGGTGACGTGGTGGTGATGGTAATGGTGGCGTCGTGGTGGTGGTAGTGATGGCGATGGGGGTGGTGGCAGTGGCGTGTGATGTTGATGGTGGCGGTGACGACAGTGGTTGCGATAATGGCGGTGGTGGTTGAGGGCGGTAGTGGTGATGGTGGTGGTGACGGTGATAATGGCGGTGGTGGTGGCGGCGGCGGTAGTTGTGGTGGTGGTGATGGTGGTGATAGGTGGAGGTGGTGGTGGTGGTGGCATCGTGGTGGTGAGGGGTGGTGACGACGACACTAGTGGTACGATGGTGGAGAGATATTGAGAGGGATAAGCGTTTCTCATTTTTCTTATTTTGTGCCCGGGAACAAAAAAGTAAAATTTTTTTGATTCTTTTTCCTGTTCCCCAGCACAAAAATTAAACCGGTTCATCCCGGGAACAAAAAAATAAACCAATTTTACCAAACGAATTTCTTATCCATTTTTGTTCCCGGGAACAGAAATTAAAAAAGAATTGATTCCGGAAAGATTGTCATGCACACCCTAAGCATTTCATATTTTTCCTTTTCCTTCTCTGCATTTTTTTTAACATTTAAAAAATGCGAGATAGAAGTGCTAAATTATGAAAGACACTATGACATATAACCTAACAAACATTTAATAAATTTTTTAACATCTAGTCAACTTTTTTCGATACGTGATCAACGTTTTGACACGTTTCTTTTTTTTTAGGTCTAAATTTTATTTATTTATTTATTTATTGGTATCCTATTTTATTTTATTAACTAAACATAAAAAAAATAATTTATAAATCAATTTTTTCTGTTATGAAATTTGACATAAAAAATTAATAAGGTACGATTTTTTTTATATTTATCTTATGAAATTTTAATATTTGATTGTTTATATGACTTATTATGAGCTGTTATATGTATTAATAATAAATTATATTATATATATTAAAAATATTATTTAATATCAAAACATGTTCCAACGTGTCGAAATATAACATTTTTTAAAATTAACGTGTCAGCGTGTTATATTCCATGTCAGTATCGGTATATCATTTATAACTAATAAATAAGTATTTGGTCATGAGAGAAACGCCTGCTGACCCATCGATAAGCGTGTAAGTATTTCCTTTGCTTTTTAATTTTTGTTTGACAATGGAGCCCACCAAAACTTGTGTCTGCAAGAATTTTATTTGTTTTGCGGGTAAAGGAGGGATGTATTTCCCTATAAAATAACACAAAATAACATTATGGATAGTGCCCACTGCCAAATGCCAATTATCGAACCAAAACAAATTCATCGTATATTTGAAAAAAATTAATAGAAATAAAATAAGTAAGAATAAATCAAATAATATTTTTATTATCACAAAATTTAATTCTCCAAAATAGGGGTTCACAATAAATCAATGTTCACATGAGTTTCACTTCGTGCTACGAGCGTTGAAGGAAAAAAGTACTTCCAAGCTTGGAAGTTGGAACTAGGATTAGCAAAACGGGCAACCTGGCCTGACCCAACCCAACCCGTATTTAATCCGAAAAAATGAGTCGGGATAGGTTGACTCGAAAAAAAAAACGAGCCAGAAAATCCAATCCAACCCAACCCAAGTCGGGTTAGGGTTGACTCTAAAATATAGCTCGTGGGTTGGCTTGAAAAAATAGCTTGCGAGTTGGCTCAAAAATTGCTCGCGGGATGACTCATTTTCAGCCTATTTAAACGATCCTATAATATTAATGCGCTATGTGGCTTCCATTAGCTAAACAAAGGGTTACAAAATGAGAAATAAAAGCAAAATATTTTAGTTTCGAATTTTCTTCACAACAAATTTGCATCAACATCAAGCAACAATCAGAACCACTTGCTACCAAGTGAGTAAGATATTTGAACCAAACAGAGCCAGCACAACCTAACAATATAAAAATGGCAGGGATGTGAGAAGATTAGGGACTTAGGTTTAGAGAAGGAAGAAAAAATGATGACAACATTTGTGGGTTTTGTCCATTTTTGTATATTATATTTTGTATTTTTTTATAAAAAAAAAAAAATCTCAACCCGCGAGCCAGCTCATTTGACCTGCGGGTTGGCTCATTTTTTCACAAGCCGGCTCGGATCGAGTTCACAACTCGTTTTTGCCGATCCTAATTGTTTTGTTTGAAGTAGGACTCCTATAATTTTTCATATTGAAGTTGTTGGGGAAATAACTTACTATGTGTTCTTTAGCCTATACAAACTTATAATAATAATAATAATTAACAAAGGCTGCAGACCACAGCATTCCTAAAAACGATCATGATTGGAAGCATTTTGAACATTACATTACATTGATATTTCTTTTTCTCTGCAATATACTACATACATAGGTTCTATTTTATTTTGTAAAACTTTGTTCTGTCATGTTGCATTGTGTCTTTTTAGCCCTTCTTCTATACAAAACAACTAAAGCAAATTTATTATATTCCATTTCTTTTACAAGAAAAAATAAAGTATATGTTTAAGTGAGGGGATACAACCTTGTTTCCAGGGAGGATTAACTATTTTCTTGTTTCAAGATTGGAGGTTGGGAATCACTGATTATGGAATTACCCAATCTAAAACATGTTAAAAATACATAGTCTCTTAATTTACCAAATGCTAAAAAGAAGGATTCCCTTTTTTTTTTTATAAAAACAAAGTTCAAAAATTAATTGGAAAATTGCCATGATAAATATAACAACCAAGTATTTTTTCTCTCTTAACATCTCTTTATGTAATTGCTATAATAACATCTTAATTATGAAATCCAGAACTAAATATATTCATACATACTACCAGAATAGCAAATGAAGAAGAAAAAAAGTTGGAGTTAATTATTTTTGATGGTTCACATAATTTGCAATCATGGAAATGGTCAAACCACCAACCTGTTTTCACTCCAAACAATTAGATTATATCCACAAACAGCAAAAAATTTCCATTTTTGCTTCACAATATTTTGCATCTCCAATCCCTTCTCAACCATTTACTAGCGAGATCTAATCCACTATATCCTGATATAAGTTACTTTTGCTTAGACATATCCAAGACTTTGTTGTTCAATCCCCATTTGTCTGAGGTGTGCACTCTTGTTGAACTTCTCTTTTTTCCTCAGACATCCTTGCAGGATCAAAGGAAAAAAAAGAAAAAAACAAACAAACATAAAACACAACCAATTAGAAAGGTCTTGAGGAAGGGGAAAGAAACATGTCATTCACAGGAACTACTGATAAATGCAAGGCATGTGATAAGACTGTTCATGTTGTTGACTTGTTAACTCTTGAAGGTATTCCTTATCATAAAGCCTGCTTCAAATGCAGTCACTGCAAGGGATATCTTTCGGTATAGTTCTCCAATACCCTTTATTTTCTTTTTGTTTTTCTTGCTTCATCTGATCCTTAAATTTGTTTCCTTCATATGTTCCTTTTTATTATTCTGTCTCATTGTTTTGTGCTCATGTGGTCATACATACTCAACAATACCTCATATGTAATTGCAGAATCTTAAATAAGGTTGAAGTTTTTAATTAATTACATGCAGAACACATAAAAATCAGTTAGATTCAATGCTTTCAATGTACATAGGTAACCAGGCTCAGACACATTATTTTGAAACTGATAGAATATAAGTATGCCACCTTGTTTTTCTTTTATTTCCTGTTATGATTTTGCAAAGGAAATAGTGAAAACAACAAAATCATGTTTTTAACATTTCATTAAAAAAAAAAAAATCCTATAAACAAGAAACAAAATGAAAATGAAAACAATGTGACAATTTTTGTAATTATAAATGAAAAGATAACTATAAAATGAGTGTTTGAGTGTTTTTAAGAAAAAGAAAACCACATTTTTTCTAAATTACTCTGAGAAAGATTTTGTTTATAAATTATTTTAAACACAATAGGATAATCCACAAACGCACTATGGTAGCTTGATCTGACATGATTCATTCAGAAAAGAAAAAATTAGTTTTAACTTATTCCTAAATATGGAGTGTCAATGGTACTAATTAATATTGGTCAGATGAGCACATACTCCTCAATGGATGGTGTTCTGTATTGCAAGCCACATTTTGAACAGCTTTTCAAGGAGTCTGGCAATTTCAGCAAGAACTTTCAATCTGGTAAGATGAACTCCATCTTTTAACCATTTTTTTTTCTTCCTAATTTAACCTCACAAAGGACAAATAGATACACTTTCTGTTAATTTTGGCTAATGAGCTATGTTGTTTCCTTGACTCTAAATGTGGCAGCAAAGTCTTCTGACAAACAAAACGACCTGATGGTATGTTCACTATCCAACCTTGCTATATGCTTTACAATTTGAGTGTCCTTCACTAACATCTAACCCCATTAAAGTGTATATATATATATATATTGTGCACTCTTTCTAACATGCATTTATAATGATCATTTACAGAATAGGACCCCGAGTAGGCTCTCTTCTATGTTCAGTGGAACACAAGACAAATGCGCGGTTTGCTTAAAAACAGTGTATCCGCTGGAAAAGGTTTGTAATCTCATATGTTAATCATACACAAAGTTGATTTCAACCAAAAAGTGAACTTCTATAATCATAAAAGCACAAACCATTAAAAATTATATATGGATCACAAGATTGCATTTATCATTACTATCTTAAACACTTTTCACAATTTGATTTTTAAATTGATTTCACATAACCTTAGTTAGGATTTTTGTTGCTATTGTAGCATTAGTGTTACAATCATAACCATCATCAATGCTACAATCCTAACCATCATTACTGCTACAATAGTAACAATTTTGATTTTGACAAAACTAATCATACAATTTTTTGGTTTCATTAAAATAGATGACACTGGAAGGGGAATGCTACCACAAGACATGCTTTAGGTGTGCTCATGGAGGGTGCACTCTCACACATTCAAGCTATGCTGCACTTGATGGTGTCCTCTATTGCAGGGTCCATTTCCAACAACTTTTCATGGAGAAAGGGAACTATAGCCATGTACTCCAAGCTGCTGCACATAAGAGGACTGGTTCTTCTGATGCTCCTCCTGTACCAGTTGATGCTCCTGAACCAGTTGAAAAGCCATCAGAGCCACAAGCATCTGAGGAACAAACAGAAGAAACCTCTTAGAATGAAAAGGGAAACATGAATTTGCTTCAAGTTCCTTCCTTCATTGAAGTTCACTTTCGTAACATTTTATCACAAAATTATTTGAGTTTTAAATTGTAAGCTAACTTGAAGAGGTTAGTTTATGTATTCTCAAACAAAAAATTTGAGCAATGCAATCAATATATTCTTTTATTCTTTTTGTTGGAATATTATTTATTTTATCTTATTTTTGAGATTTTCCTCCTATTTATCAATCAATAGACTAATTCGGTCCAGTCAAGCATAATGGTAACTGCGATAAAACTCTTCCAATCAAATTTTTAACATGGCTGCGTACAATATTGGTGATATCCAATATTGTTAAAATCGAGATCTCAAGTAAAATTGGAACGGGTTTAAAAAATCGTAAAACATAAAATTATAATATAAAAAAATCATAAAAACATAAAAGCGTTTGGAATATTAGTAAAATCATTTTGATGAAAAAAAATCGTAAAAACATAATATCGTAATGATAAATCGAGATTTTAACAACAATAGTGATATCACTTTGGCTCTAATAATTTTATAGGAAGACAATGAATTTAACACAGGTTCGCAACTGGGAACCTAATTAAATCTGTACTTAATTACATTATTAATGAGCAACAAAGAAAATAAAAAAGAAACTGTTATTCACTTATGAATTTTTTTTATTCTTTATCCTTATCTTTTTAGGAAGTGAATCTTCTCGTATTAAATAAATTTTTTGCCATGTTTTATTTAACTTGTATGATTGTAATTTTCTCCTATAATGAAGTTATGTTTTATTAAATACGACAGATCCATTTTTATTTTTATCTCATTTTTATTTATGGATAACTGAAATTTTATTAAGGGGATTATGAATATCTCATGTGACACGAAGATTCATATCTCCTCTTGTAGAGAAAAGGAAACATGTGGGAGCTATCTAGTTGAAAAAAGAAAAAAGAAAAAAGAAAAAATATGCAACACATTTTTCCATGGGTCAGGTTGGAGTTGGAGAGATATGAATCTTCATGCAGATTCATAATCCCCTTCTATTAAATATGAGGATCCCAGCTATGATGTATGACTATGGACTATTATCGTAGTTTGGTTAGTTAGTGAGTTAACCTTGTAGTGGCTTAGTATGTAATTATGTAATTATGTGATAATCTCATACACGCCATTGATTTGGGCTCGGTAAGGACGCATTGTTTAGAAAAAAAAGACTACATTACACAATATCGAACCAATTGTATAATATAATTTATGAAGAAAGTAAAATAAATATAATTTGACATGAGGAAAAATATAATTCACATATTTATTTATTTTAAGGGATAGGTTATTCTACCTACTCCTATCTTGCCTACCTTTTGCCTACCTCATCATTACTGTTGGATTACAATCTAATCCAACGGTTCATATTTACACAATAAAATAACCCTTTTTTCTCATTCTTTCTTCTCACTTCCTCCCACACCCTTTCTCTCTCCTCCCCCTTTCTCTCTTCCTCTCTACTCTATACCTAATTTTTTTTCCTTTATCTCCTCCCCCTTTCTATCAGGTTTATTTTTATTGGAACTTCTTTTTATTTTAATTGCATTGAACCACAGCACCACAACATTATGCGATTCATCGACCACAATATTTTAATTTAAGCATTATGCGATTCATCGAATAATATATGAGGTTTGCAACAATTTGTAGCTCATTGCAGAGAAGGGAACATGGCCATTGAATAACCCTAATATTCCAGCAATTTGGCGGCAGAGTTCATGTTCTCTATCACTGATGATATCTTCCTCCCTGAAAGTAACAATAATCGCATTCTATATTAAGGCTAACCTTGTAGCATCCACTTAACTTGATTCAATCTTTTTTCTCCCTGTAAATCCATAACTGCTTCGCATAATGCTTCCGCGTGCGTTCACCTCGGCAGAGATCAGAGATAAAGGGAAAAAAATTAGGTATAGGGTAGAGGAAGAGAGAAAGGGGGAGGAGAGAGAAAGGATGTGGGAGAAAGTGAGGAGAAAGAAAGGGAAAAAAAATTATTTTATTGCGTAAATATGAACCGTTGGATTAGATTGTAATCCAACGGTAATGAAAGAGGTAGGCAAAAGGTAGGCAAGATGTGAGTTATATTACAATCTTATCCAATGGTGAATATTTACTATCTAAAATAAACTCTTTTACTACTTTCTCTCTCTCACTGCCTCTCATTTTTTCTCTCTCCTCTGCTTTCTCTTTCTTTAATGGCGCTTCAGTATCAAAAAAAGGTGTAAGCTTTTTTATCGATTCATCCAACCCAGTCATTGTTATGAGCATTTACATAAAAAATTGAAAAAGGGTGTCAAGAAGAAACATACCCAGATGCCCTATGTTATAGAATCAGGTATGCCTGTTGTTGTGCGTAACATAGAGAGAACATAGATCATTTCCCCACTTCAAGGTGAAAAACAAGATAATCCTTTCCCCACTTCAAGGTGAAAAACAAGATAAGAAAGAGATAAGTTGATTCGATTTCAAATTTCAACAGCAAAATAGAAACGTTACTTTAATTGTGGATTAATTTAAAGGAAGGGATTCTTCGTGGTTTTCGATTTTTTTTGTTGTATTTTTGTGATTTCTGCCATGTTTAATTATATCATATTCAAGTAATTTTGAAAATTATATTCATCCAGTAGAATTATCATGCCATTAATCATTGATTGAATTTAGATTCAAATATAAATTCAGATTATAAATTACGCAAATCGATAGAGAGAAATGGGAGAGAGAGAAAGAGTGTGAGAGGTAGTAAGGAGAAAGAAAGGAGTAAAAGAGTTTATTTTAGATAGTAAATCCCCACCATTGGATAAGATTGTAATCTAACAATATTGAAAGAGGTAGGCAAAGGTAGGCAAAATAAGAGTAGGGAGAATAACCTTTCCCATATAAATTCAGATTATAAATTACGCAAATCAATAGAGAGAAAGGGGAAGAGAGAGAAAGAGTGTGAGAGGTAGTAAGGAGAAAAAAAAGGGGAAAATAGTTTATTTTATTCCACAAATCTCCATCATTAGATGAGATTGTAATCTAACGGTGTTAAGAGAGGTAGGCAAAGGTAGGCAAAATAAAAGTAGGCAGAATAACCAAGTTGTGTTACTACCAATCAATCTCACCGTTAGATGATTATGTTGATCCAACAGTTATATTTATTTCCATCTTTATATGATCATGATTTTCCAAATTTAATACTTTATATTTATTTTCACCTTTGTATGGTTATGATTTCTCATATTTAATGCTTTCACTTTAAATATAGGGAATCATAACCATGCAAAAATGAAAATAAATATAACCGTTGGATCAACATAATCGATCTAACGATGAGATTGATTGATAGTAACATTAATAGTAACACAACTTGATTGTTACAATATCTTTCTGCTTTTAAAATAATCAGTCACATTACAAGTCATTTTGTCATTTTGAAATTATTTTTATTTTACATTTGTATTAAAAAAAGTTTATTTTTAATACAATCTCAGATTGAAAAATTAAAAATAAAATGTTATTCAAATGTTACAACACTATGTATGAACTCAGCTTATTAACATTATCTTATTTTTTTAAAGAATAAAAGAATTTAAAATTAAGTCACTAAGTGTCATAAAATAATGATGATGAGGTTAGATAATTTGCATGAAATTATATGTTTAAACTCTAGTATTATCATTGTATTAAAAAATTTCAAAATCCAAATATAATATAAAATTAACTAATAGTTGATAAAAAAAATTGAGTTTAGTTTTCTCAAATACTTAGTGATACTTAATAAAAAAAACTACACGAGTAACTTATCACAAAATTTAATATTGTCATTTTGAAAAATCTTAAGCAGTAGTATATAATCCAATTAAAAAAAGGGAGAGAATATACCCCAATTTATGGGGTTTGCATTACTCATGTTACTTGACACAAATTTTTTTTTACATACCCAATATTTTGTGGGGTCCAAATTTTTTGAAACACAAAAAAAAATCTAACACACATAAAATGAATCTCTATAATATTACACAATCAATTTTCCTATAATATAACTCTTAAAAAATCGACAAGAAAGACAAAATTTGGGTTCGGATAATTTTTTTAGAAGTTTCAGTGTCCACTCATCCCAAGTTATAAATCCCGAAAATGATTAATGATTTCACGCGCTGACATGGCCGTTGAAGAGTAAACACTGTTACGATTGGACCTTGTTTTCCACGCGCTAAAGCCGCGCTGAAGATAAAATATCTCTCTGTCTCGTATATATCTTCGCTCGCTCACTCCCTCCACTGACCGTTTTAAGAAAACACGTAACTGATTTCATTTTCCGAGCTGAGAAAATTTCATTTTCCGTCTTTCCAAACACTCAAATCGAAAGCTTCATTTTCCACTTTCTGTTCAAAGCTGCGTATTCAGTTTTCGTCGTTTCGGTAATTTCATCAACGATTCCAATTCAGTGTTGCCGAAACGGTTCTCTTTTTTTTTTTTTTCTTAATGAAAATGCTACTGTATTGTAATGAGCATCTTTCTTCTTTTTTCGACTCTATTTCTTTTGTTTTTCAGTTTTTTTTTTTTTTAGGAATTGCTGGTAAAATGTACTGAAGAGTGGTTCTGCAAAAGTGTTTAGTTTTGGTAGATATCATGGATGTAGTTTTTAGCTTACCTCAGTCAAAAATGTTATTGGATGGTTTTGATTCTTGCATTGTGTTTGGAGGGAGAGGTTTTGGTTGTGCTTTTCTTGGAAACTCTGGGACTATTTTGAAAGCTCGTTTTAGTGGGATGAACAAGATTGGTAGTATGAGAAATGCAGGAGTGGTTTGTGTAGGAGAGTTCAAGGTTTCAAATGTGAAGAGGAGTTTGTCTTGTAAGAATAATAGCCTTTTTAGGAAGAATAGGACAATTTGGTCAAAGTGTCAGGGTAATGATTCCTTAGCATATGTCAATGGCAATGGCCGGAATGTTGGTAATGTGAAAGGTACGGATGATGCTGAATTGAGTAAACCATTAGCACGAGAAGAAGAAGAAGGGCAAGGAGGGAGAAAAGAAGTTGGGGGTGAAGTAGAAGTAGAGGTACGAAGTGTGGATGAATTGAAGGAACAGTTGCAAAAAGCCTTGAAAGAACTAGAAGATGCTAGAGTAAATAGTACCATGTTTGAGGAAAAGGTTAAAAAGATATCAGAGATTGCGATTTTGTTGCAGGATGAAGCAACAAGTGCTTGGAATGATGTTAATTCTACCCTTGATTTCGTCCAAGAAATTGTGAGTGAGGAATCTGTTGCCAAAGAAGTTGTTCAAAAAGCAACAATGGCTCTTTCTTTAGCTGAGGCAAGGCTTCAAGTAGCCGTCGAATCTTTGGAGGTTGCAAAAGGAGTTTACAATTCTCCGCAAGGTTCTAACAAGAGTAAAGGTGATAAAGATATAATGCAAGAGGAAAAAACACTTTTGTTTGCTCAGGAAGATATCAGGGAATGTCAGATTAATTTGACCAATTGTGAGGCTGAGCTGAGGTGCTTACAAAGTAGAAAGGAGGATTTGCAGAATGAAGTGAAAAAGTTGCATGAAATTGCAGAAAAGGCACAGCTGAATGCAGTGAAAGCGGAGGGGGATGTCACAAACATAATGCTTTTAGCAGAGCAAGCTGTTGCCTTTGAGCTTGAAGCTGCACAGCGTGTGAATGATGCAGAGATTGTATTACTGAGAGCAGACAAGTCTGTCTCTAGTTTTGATGCTGATACCATAGACACTTTACAAGTGCAAGATGTTGTGTCTGTTCCTGAGGAGGAGAAAATGGTTCAACCTTTTTCTGGTGATGATGCTGTTGAAAGAGAGAAAGATTTCTTAACTGATGATGAATCTTTGCTTGCCATGAGATCACCAGAGACACTATCTGATAAAACCAGCCAAATTTTGGAAGACATAACACAGTCTGATTATCTGAGTGATCATGAGAATGGACAATTAAGCTTAGACTCTTCTAAGAAAGCTGATGTCGAAGTAGAGAAGGCAAAGAATGTCGTTCAAACCAAAAAACAGGAAACACAGAAAGATTTGACCAGAGATAATTCACCATTTGCTCCAAAGGCATTGTTGAAGAAGTCTTCCCGGTTTTTTCCTGCATCATTCTTTTCTTTTAATGTGGATGAGGCTGATTATACACCGGCATCTGTTTTCCATGGTCTTGTGGAGTCTGCACAGAAGCAGTTACCCAAGCTGGTTGTTGGGTTATTGTTAATTGGAGCGGGGTGCGTATGATCTTTCTATATCCTGCTCCTTTTGATGCTGTTGTTTTTACAATTTACCTGGAAGTATATATAAATCATATGGCTGGCATAGAATATGTATGGTATAGGAGTAACAAATGAAATATTGGGATGGAAATTTATAGCGTTTTGTGCAACATGATAGAGAATATCAAGGAAAAAACATTCACTGGATTTTTTAAATACCGAATGTGAAATTAAATTCCTACCATGGGGAAGGGACTTATGCCTTGCTATGAGTTACCTTCAGAGTTGTTCTGACCATTTTAAGGAAGACTATTATGCTTTGTCATTATGTTAATTTAGATGCAAAGACCAATATGAAGATTTTACTATGTTTTTCAAGAAGGGGTGGAATTTTATTTCAGGGTTACATTCTACGCTAATAGAGCAGAGAGGAGTGCTCAGCTGCTTCAGCAGCCAGAAGTCATTGCAACAACTGTTGAAGAAGTTTCCTCAAGTGCAAAGCCTCTGGTTAGACAACTTCAGAAACTCCCCATGAGAATTAAGAAAATTATTGCGTCATTACCTGATCAAGAGGTTTGTTGTTCTTCATTCCCTATCCCCCTTATTGATATGCTTAATTTGCTAAGTTTTATCTGACTCTGCATGCTTTTTATCCCAGGTGAATGAGGAGGAAGCCTCACTCTTTGACATGCTCTGGTTATTACTTGCAAGTGTTATATTTGTGCCAATATTTCAAAAAATTCCTGGAGGTAAAACGGTTGCCATGTTTTCTTAATGTTGAAGTGAACATTGTCTGTCAAAGTATAACAAAGTTGATTGTCTAGAACTTTTACTTTAGTTTGAATGTGATCAGGCACCAAACTCTATATATTGCTTATATGGAACTTTAGTACATAAATTACCACTCCTTCTTTTCTTAGCTCACTTATCTTTTCCTAGGTCACCATTTGTTAGTTTGGTTATGATATGATAAGTTGATAACAAATGAAGTTGTATTGCTTAAAGCGAATTTGGTTACTTGAATACGAAAGTGTTGCTTTTCTCATAAGTATCCAACCATTATCTGAATTGTGCTTTTTGATGCCTAGTTTTTTTTAATAAGAGTTATAACTTGATAAAATTGATTGTCTGACTTATATATATTGTTCTGCTGATTCCTCTGTCCTCTATCTGCAACAATGTTTAGGCAGTCCTGTTCTTGGGTACTTGGCGGCTGGTATCTTGATTGGGCCTTATGGTCTCTCCATCATTCGTCATGTTCATGGGACAAAAGCAATAGCTGAATTTGGAGTTGTTTTCCTGTTATTCAATATTGGCCTGGAGGTGGAGTTTCTATGTGATCTTTTTCTACCTTAACATTGATCCTCTCCGTAATAAAAAATAAACTAAAACTCTGAACTGTTTTTTCTAGCTCTCTGTTGAAAGGCTTAGTTCAATGAAGAAATATGTCTTTGGATTAGGATCTGCTCAGGTGATTGGGAAATTTCATTTTCCATACTTGTTATTAGTGTTCACCTTAAGCTATTCCATTCATATGCTAGTAATGTATGAGCCAACAATTCTTAACATGTATGAATAAATGCAGGTTTTGGTGACTGCTGTTGTTGTTGGCTTGGTGGCTCATTATGTTTGTGGCCAAGCTGGTCCTGCTGCTATTGTCATTGGGAATGGCCTGGCATTATCATCAACTGCTGTTGTTCTGCAGGTAAATAACCTGAGCACTGTTTGATTTTAATTTTTTACTTTGTGGTATATGTTCGCTCACTCTACTCAGCTTTACTACTCCAGCTTTATGCTTCTGTTTAATATACATTCTGATAAAGGGATATCTATTTTTTCTGAAAGCATTAACTGTAAAAGGATTTTCATTGTAGCCAGCATCTGTTAATAAATGTATTTATGGTTGTCATTACTTAATAAAGCTTGATGTCTGCAACAGATGCTCCCTTTTGAAAGATTCTCATGAGTTTAAATATTTACCATAGCAGTCAAGATTGTGTTCTTTCTATTTTATACTTCTATTTTTATGTCTGCAATAATTCAAGTTAACTTGTTTTGCAGGTGTTACACGAGAGAGGTGAGAGCACATCACGGCATGGACGGGCTACATTTTCCGTTTTACTTTTTCAGGTTACTTTGTACCTTACCCATTGATGGAGCCCAAATTGACAACACTGAATTCATTGAATCAGTGGAGGCATAGCCTCTTTTTTCTACAAACACTAATACAAGAACAAGACACTAAAAGACCCTAGCTCAACCTTAGAATCAACAAACCTAGGCTCCAAGAGATCCCCAATTCCCCAATAATCAATTAATGCATGCCTATCTCACTCCACACATTCCTCCTCCTTTTATCCTATCCTCTCAGAATATTCTAGAAGAATTCCCTAATTAACTAACAAACTGCCTCACTTTCAGGCCCATCACCCATCTATCTAGAAACTGAAGGATTTTTTCGTGAAAGGAAGTAATAAATAATGATACTTGTGATATATAGTTGGCTGAACTGTGTCTTATGTAACTCCTGCTTCAATGTTTGCACCTTGTACAGTCAAGTATTATTACAATCTGTGAACAAAGATGAAACTGTGAAACTACAATCTGCAGTTATTGTTGGGTTAGTTGGCGGAGCACATCTATATATTTGCCACTTAAGAACATTATTTAGTTTGTTATTCTGTGTAGATTTCTCAACTAGCGCCCGCTTCTCTGTTTCTGCTCTATCTTGTTTATTGTTATGTCCATCTGTTGTTTCTGGTATTGATTGTTTATTATTATCTCTTTACCATCTTTGGTATAGCAATATTTTGACCAAAATTCACTATTTCTTCTTTGTTTCTATTCAGGATTTGGCTGTTGTGGTCTTGCTAATACTCATACCTCTTATTTCTCCTAATTCTTCCAAAGGAGGGGTAACAATTTCTATAATATTCTGTCTTAAAATAGGTATATCATATAGGTAGACAATATTGTGGTCATGAGGTCCACAACATGGTTAGTTAAAATTGTGTAAACTCCTATGTAGCATGAGACAGTTTATTGCATGAAACAACTAAAGTTTTAATTTCACATGCAGAAAAGAACATTGGAACATGAAGCTAACATTGTCTAGTTAGTAATTTAGTATAACCACATTGCATTGTGACAAGGGTGTTCTGAGTGAATCATTGCCCCCCGACGCCCAATGTGGGAGTTATTTATTGTTTAGAGAATTTGCATTTAATTGTATAATTCGGTTTTAATTTTGAGAGATCTGCAAGTAATGTTTACACGAGGAGGAATAAGAACAACAACGGAAACAAAAATAGAAAGCAGTTGTAGGTGTTTGAAAAAAGGAACAAAAGGGAGGGTAGAAGAGTAATTCCCATAACAGATTGATAGACCTGTAAGCAATGTTTATCCTAGGAGGAAAATAAAGGAAACTAAGTGTATTAAAAAAAAAATAACAGAAACTTCTGTACAAAAGAGTTGCAGGTGTATGAAAGAAGGAAGAAAAAGAAGGGTGATTCCCTTAGAGATTATGGGCAAAGTGAGGTACTGCCAATTGAGGAGTTAGTTATGGGGAAGGGGGTAATGATGAGTTGGAGGAAAAAGAAGATGGGAAAATAACATAATGGGGGGTGGGGGTTGATATAGGGAAGGCTTGGGGTTGTCATTGTCGTCAACTCATTATCATCATCATGATTGCCACCATGTATACTGCTGTTGCCTATGTTGTCTTCTTTTGAAATACCAATCTTCGTTTTCAGGTTGGTTTTCAAGCCATTGCTGAAGCTCTTGGTCTGGCTGCTGTTAAGGCTGCAGTTGCCATCACTGCCATAATTGCTGGTGGACGACTGGTAAGTGGTGTTGAGAACAAAGGCGTGGGATGTGTGATTTCTAATTGTTAAAATGTATTCTGAATATAGATAGCTGATGTTTAATTTTTCTGCTTGAAGGAAATACTTAATTTTCTTGTCAGTATATCTATCTTCTTTTTTTTAATCTGAATAAGAGTATTTTGTTTAATTCTTCATTTAAGTTTACGTGGAGCATCACAATAAGCCATTAGTTCTACGGTTTAGCATGATATATATTATATGTGATTCTTTGAAGCAGTCGATATGTTGACATCTAAAGGCTGTAATTGGGTAAGTTATTGTACAGACTGGGCACTATAGATTGCTTTGTATATTTCACAGTGATGTGTTATATGGTGTTGTGCGCATTCAGATTTTCTACTTATCATGGTGCATGGAAGTTACCAACTACTTATTATACATGGAATGCACAAACTCAGTTGCTTCTTATATTGTTTGAGACTTGAGGTGAGTTTTGTACGTTAGTGGTCGAACATATGAGGTCTTGGTCGAAGTAACTAGGCAAGTGGGATTAAACGGAGCAGGCATTTAGCATGTTTGATGTTAAGTGTATCAAGATCCTGATGCTGAAACATATATCATAAAAGCCATTTTTTCAAATTGGGTTCATTAGGAAGGCATCTTACGATGTTACTTTGATTACACATAAATTTTGCTATGTAATTTTTCCTTCTCTTCTTTGGACAGCTCCTTCGACCCATATATAAGCAGATTGCAGAAAATCAAAATGCAGAAATATTTTCCGCCAATACACTCTTTGTTATTCTTGGAACTAGCCTTCTCACAGCCAGGGTAGGTGTTTGTACCACTGCTTTTCCTTTTATCCTTTGTTTGGGCTTTTGACCCAAGCCAAGTTTTGGCAGTTTGCTTTAAATTCATTATTTTTGTGTCAATTGAAGTGATTTTATTTTGTCTGTTTTGTGTTAACCTTAATTTTTACCTTTCTCTTGAATTAGTTTTCTTTACTTAAAACAGGCAGGACTTTCCATGGCATTGGGAGCATTTTTGGCAGGTTTACTACTGGCAGAAACTGAATTTTCCTTGCAGGTTGAATCTGATATTGCTCCATATCGTGGCCTTCTATTGGGTCTATTCTTTATGACGGTGGGTGCTTAATAATCGAATTCAAAGGTCTATTAATTGTATTATTTAATTATTCATGCAGCATATATCTTTTTTATAGTTTGCTAATTAGGTGGTCAATTACTTGTATTGGAATAATTTTTATGTGAATCTTCAACTGCAAGGGATGACTGCCTTTAAATTTGTCATTTTTTAATCAAGCCAGCTTCAATCTGTGTGTTTGATGGAAATTAATTTTTGTGACTTTTCAGGTTGGAATGTCTATTGATCCAAAGCTTCTTGTTTCAAACTTTCCGGTCATTGCAGGGACACTGGGACTCTTAATATGTGGCAAGACTCTCTTGGTTTCTTTGATTGGCAGAATTTTTGGTATTTCACTCATTTCTGCCGTAAGAGTTGGTCTTCTTCTTGCTCCTGGGGGAGAATTTGCATTTGTGGCTTTTGGTGAAGCTGTTAATCAGGTTTTTATCCTTGACAACTGTATCGCCTATCAAGAGTTCTCTGGTTTAGGTTTATAAATAATTATTTACTTTGCATATTCATATTCATTTAAAATAAGTCATTCTGCTTGTGTTAGTTTTTAACGATGTGCTTTTTGATGTTTGTAACTTAAATTGTTTTGGAGGTTTATGATCCGGGTCATCTTTCTTCCAAAATAAACTAACAAGTGGATTAATAATATGTTCTCACCAGATAAGTGTTGATAAAATAAGATTGTCTCTGGCTGTTATTTTGATGATTTATGACTTAATAAGAGTTTTGAGCGCAAGGCTCTCTGTTCTTGCATTGTTCTGTGACTTGGAATTTTCAGATAAGGTTCTTTTGTAATAGTCCTAAATCAATCTTGCATGTTTCACTGCACAATATTCTAAATATTTTGTTACTTTAGGTTTTCTCATTCTCATTATATTAGGAAAGTAATTATTTAGTTAGGTCTATATATTGGAATGATCTCATGTACAGAATACTTTTGAAATAATATTTAGAATTTTTCCAATCAACTTAGTTTCAGAGCCTAGTTCCAATGTAGGGACCTAGGGGTAGGGGTCATTAGCCATGGGCTTTATTCCAGCCCACATGCCATATGGGTATCATCATCGCAGATCTCATTCCCTAATTCTCTTCGTTATTTTCTTTCCTTATTTAATGCATTTATTCTATGATTGCAATCATGCAACAATCAGAATTATCTGATTTCGCGTTTCTCTGATTCGTTTCCTGTTTTAGCTAATTCGGATTATTTCTTTGTGTTGATTGGCACGCTTTAGCCTGGGCCTCCTCCTCTATAAACTTTCTTGTTACCTATTGATTGAAATAGTAAAAAATACAAGAACTTTTTACCAAAAAAAATAAAAATAAAAATACAAGAACCTATTTCTATTTCTCTATGCATGCACCTTTTCTAGATTATGGGTTATAGGATAGTTGGTTTAATAAAAAGGAAGGAATTTGAGTACAAGGTAGGTGATCCTGTAAATTTTTCACATTTCAATCCTAACAAACTCTTATATGAAGAGGCATGTTAGAAATATAATATAGAATAATTCATGGGTTTTCGCCTAATGACTTAAACTTTTGGGATAATTGGTTCATGCTAGGTTCTTATGTTTACTTGAGTATGTACCTCACGCTTTGATGATTTGCTATTATTGCTTAGTAGTGTTTTGAGAAGTCTAGGGTTCCATGGAGGTGTCTCGAATTTCAATTTGGTGGGGTATATGGATAAAATTATATCTCTATTTTTACGAATATTCATAAATCTTGATTTTCTTCACTGTTGAGCTAAGTGCATATTTATGGGATATTTATAAGCGAAGGCTCGCAACCTCTTCGAATATACACGAGTAAAAAATAAAAGGATAAGGCTTCTTATATGCAAAGGATAAGACTGCTTATATGGATTGTCCTTACTCCGTCCTCACCAGTTGGGGTTTAATGGCGAGTTGTTTTTTTTTTTTTAATTTATACAAGTGTATATTGAGAGATATTGTGAGGCTTTACTTATATGATACGTATTCATATGAAATTCTCTTGTCTCTGTTTTTTTTTTTTTTTTTAATTGTTACCCGGGTAGCTTTTGATTATATCTTATCCTCATATTCTGTATTTTCTCCTTGTTGGGAAAATAACACCAATTTCCCTTCCCTTAACCGGTTATGAATGGTTGAATACAAGCAAAACAATTGTTCTAACAATAACTATGCAATTAAAATAAGGCAAAGCAATACAAAGCAATTTTAATGTGAAAAGCCTTCTCAATGTGAGAAATAAAACCAACGCGACTGGTTTTGGAGTCCACCCAAGTTCTTCACTCTCAACAAGAGTGAGATTACAAGGTCGTCGAAAGTTAGCAACAAGCAACAAGAACACAAGTTGTACTAAAGGACAAGAGGTATACAAGAGAGGAACACATTGAGCAAGTTCTTCACAAACACAACTTCTGTTCGAAATTAATTTATACCACTAGAAAACACCAATCAAAATACCCAACGGTCAGGATAGAGTAATACAAGAGAGGAACACATTGAGCAAGTTTGATCCAACGGCTAATCAAAGAGATCTCCTTCTTTAAATCTGACTTCTCAAAACAGGATAGAAATACTAACGTCCGCTTTTCTCATTTGAACAAAATCCTCTTGGAAGCTTCAACAAAAATCCAAACAGTCAAACTTTAGACTCATATGTTATGAAAATTATTTCAAGGGGAGGGATTTTTTGACTCCGGTATAAGATTTAGAAGTCTTACTTCCCATCTTAGCCGTTGATTTCTGTCCATCTAACGATTGTTATTTATTTAAAATTAATAATTAATTAATTGGTATAACTCAATAAACTATGGCCGTTAGATGGACGGAAATCAATGGTTAAGATGGGGAGTAAGACTTATAAGTCTTACACCGGAGTCAAAAGATCCCTCCCCTTATTTCAAAGTTTGAATTTGATTCAACGATGCATTTGAGATATATGCCTCTTAAAAGACCGTTGCTTGCTGCAGAATGCTTCAGAATTATGCTGAAAAATGAGTTCGTTTCTTGAATTTCTAGGCTTGCTACAAACCTCCAATAAACAAATCCATCGTACTAAGTAAAGCTTAATGAGTCTTAAAATGATGAAAAAGTTTCGGCTCAATGCAACGGTGTTAGGAGATATCAAAGATGGAAGAAAATTACTTCTTCCTTTTCTTCTCTTGCATTTTCCCTCCCAATGGCTGCTCTCGCTCTCCTATTTGCAATGTGGCTGCTCTCTCTTGTCTACAAATGGCTGATACAAGGGTGCATAAGGGAACCTAGGTCTATCCCTAATTGGGTTGGACTTTCTTGGTTTTTAATGACAAAACCCCAACACTCCTTTCTCTTTGATGAATTATTTTTCATTTTGAAGAAAGGTGAGTTAAAATAAATAAATTAAAATAGATGAGTTTATTGATAGCTGCTAAGAATTCTATATAAAGGGAACATGGTGCTATAAAACTACCGCTTTGCACAAGATCTAGGAAGGGTCTATAATAGGCAGCCTTACCTTGCATTTGCAAGTGCCTACTTACATAAAACGAACCCGTGACCTCTGGGTCACATGGCAACAACACCAAGTTATGCCAAGGTTCCACTTCTTGCTAAGAACTTTAAGCTCTTCGAAATTTAATCTGCTATAAAAACTAATATGTTTGCTAATTGATCCTTCGGCAGGGCATAATGTCTTCCCAAATGTCCTCTTTGCTGTTTCTTGTTGTGGGAATTTCAATGGCCCTCACACCATGGCTAGCTGAAGGAGGCCAGCTGATTGCTTCCCGTTTTGAGCTGCATGATGTTCGAAATTTATTACCTGTAGAAAGTGAGGTAAGATCACTTACCTGAGCTACTGACGGACTTCCAGTAATTGTGAATTGTTGTGAAATTTATAGCTTTGGCAGTATCCATTCTTAGGCTCTCTTTGATGGTGCACTGAACACCATCTTTTTCATCTTACAATTCAATAGATTGTATGTTGTGTTGCATAGGATAGCAAGTCTTGTCGGGAGGGTACTATGCTCTTATAATCACATTATGTGCAATGAGTTAACTGCTTCATTATATGGTATTTTGTTTAATTAAGGAAATTCTACAGTAATGCTCCTTACACTTGTGGTTGTAGACAATGGATGCAGTTAGACAAACAATATTGGTTTAGTATTATTTAGATTTGACATGAAAAATTTGTAGCTGACTTCTTTTTGGAGGACATCTTTTACAGACAGATGATCTGCAAGGTCATATCATTATTTGTGGATTTGGGCGAGTTGGCCAGGTAAGTTCTTTCTTTTTTGGTTTAATTAATGATTCTTGATAATTGATTTCAGCCTAACAGTTTACATTCTATTTATTGCCTCTTTGTTATTTCTAGATTATTGCACAACTTCTTTCTGAGCGACTTATTCCTTTTGTTGCACTAGACGTGAGAAGGTAAACTCATTAACTCAATTCAAACTGAAACTGTATGCTTTTCTTGTAATTGCTTGTTTTGGATAAATGATTTTGTAAATTTATTTTTAAGATTAATGGATCTTATTTATGTTGGAAGAGAAAACAACATTACTGCATAAAATTGTTGAATGTCATTCTGAACTCTGCCTACTAAGAGGAAAGAATAAAAGGCAACAATTATGATACTCTGTCTCTTTCTTTATGCGTGAGGCATCTAGATGAACCTAGATGTGCTGTTTGATTGTGCATCAGTTCCAGACTTCCTCGGAGGCATTAAAGGCTTTACTGAAAAACAACCAAATTTTGCTTTCTTTTCAAATAGTTGGATTCTTCATATACTTCTCAACACTTAAATAGAGATAGATCCCCGTATTAATTGGTTTGTTGTTAAATAATGCTGTTATTCAGTGACCAGGATGGGACAATCTTTGGATGTCTATCAAGATTATTTACTATAGTTTTCTCGAAAAGATGTACTTCGATACATCATATGTGCAATTTTGGATGGGAAACAGCAGATGATGACCTAACCTGTCTTCACATTTGCTAATGTCTTCAGTGATAGAGTGGCAATTGGGCGTTCCATGGATCTCCCCGTGTACTTTGGAGATGCTGGTAGTCGAGAGGTAGTGCATATACTTCATTACTTTATCTTGCGTAGATGTTCATTAAGTGACATGCTTTATACTGCATGATAAGGTCCTACACAAGGTTGGAGCCGAAAGGGCAAGTGCTGCAGCAGTAACTCTAGATTCCCCTGGTGCAAATTATAGAACAGTTTGGGCTCTGAGCAAGCACTTTCCAAATGTGAAGACCTTTGTTCGTGCTCACGATGTTGATCATGGATTGAATTTAGAAAAGGCTGGAGCTACTGCTGTAATATTCTGATACCTCTTCTATTATTTCTGTTGTGATTGCCTTGTGTTGTAATCTTGAAACATAAACACCAACATCACATTTATCCCAAAGTAGTCAATGAACTCGTATAAAAGCAAGATCAGATTGAAGAAAAATAAATAATAAATAAGATCAATATATATAATAAAATAGTATTTTTCTTAATTGTTGCATATTTTTGGCTGAACTGGCTATTATTGGAATACTTACTCTAGATCTTGTCCATCTTGTCTGTCATTTGCATTTGCAGGTTGTCCCAGAGACCTTGGAACCAAGTCTTCAACTAGCAGCTGCAGTGCTTGCTCAGGTAACTATCATATTGTTATTGGAAGTAGGAACATATATATTGACATGATGAATAAACTTTTTATGTCCTTGTATTTTGTTAATACTCTTATATGATGATGACAAACGCCGTTAATTGAATTAAATGATTTTGTCCGGTTCTTGTTGTGAATGAATCTTTATGTCACATTAGCTGAACTGTTGTGTATTTTCTCTTCATATAAATGATTAACTCAAGTTTCTGGTCAAATTTTCACAGAAATGTATGAACGTATTTTTGCTCTTAATTGCCTGGTTAAACTGGTTGCACATCTCATTGAAGACACTAGCTGTTCTTAAAATTGAAAAGGGGAAAAAAAGAAAATACACTCATCATATGTTTAATTTAGGCTTTATTAGAATAAAAACATACAAAGAAAGGTTTCTTATCATATGATTTTTTTTGTTGATGACCTTCTGACACAAAATGCTATAGAATGGAGATGGATGATCTTAGTTATCTATGCATTTCTCTCTTCAGGCTAAACTTCCTGCATCAGAGATTGCAGCAGCTATAAATGAATTCAGATCCCGCCATCTATCTGAGCTCACAGAAGTACGTGTTCCTTTTTAACACATTCTCACAGACATGCATAGTGGTCACTATCAACTTTGTTGTCACTGTCGTTGGAAATTGCATCATCACATACTACTTATTCACTTATAGTTGATGTATGAATAGTCGTTTGTTACTTTTGGTCTCTTTATTCAGCTGTGTGAAACGAGTGGAAGTTCTCTTGGATATGGATATAACAGAATTATGAGTAAACCCAAATCTCAATCCCCAGATTCATTAGATGAGACCCAATTCTCTGATGGGACACTGGCGGCATGAAGATTGTCCCATATGTACAAAGCGGAAGTCAAAAGAAAACAGAAAGAGTTAGGAAAGTTATTATTGTGAAAAAATATATGTATAGCAGATTAGATGTTCCATCATTATGTAAATTGTACAGAGATATATCTGCATCGAAGATGCATAATCTGTATTGTTATTTTCTTTTTCTTGTCAGAAATTTTAATTCATCATCCTTTTTCAAATTTCTATTAAGGATGATATACCTGTTGCATGTGACAATGTGACATTGATATTGTTTCCTATTCTTTGGCTTTCAAAAAGCATGTATAAGAGACGGCCTATCCACTATCAAAGTACCCGGAAAAGATGGTGTTGGTTTTATTTATTTATTTATGGGCAATATTACTCTTATGCAATAGGAAAAAAATTTTATCTTATGTCCATACATCGATACTTGTGCCATTTATTTTTTATTTTTTTTCATTTTTTTTTCTATTGGGTCCCACTTTAAATTGAGTGTGTAGGAGATAACAAAATTTTTATGTGACATAAGACTACAATTACTCTTTATTTATTTGGGTAAATTATACATGTTGATATTTGCCAAAATATAAGTAACTTTCAAACTTGGTTATAAATTACACTTCACCTCTTCTTTTTTTTTGGGGACACCGTTGCACTTTACGATAAAAAGTAACATTTTATGCATAACTTTTTACTAATTACATTCTTAATTTAAAATATTAATAAAATTTATTTTCATCTTCAAAATAAAAGTGTTTTAAGTTAATATTTTTTAATTTGAATTTTAAATTAATATTTACAATTTATAAGTTGAATATGTAAACAATATTAACAATACTTTTATTTCTAAGAAGTTGACGTAGGGAAAAGATAAAATGACATAAAAATAATACTAAAAATAAAATATATAAAAATAAAAATTAATAAATAAATAAATAAATAAAATAGAAAAAAATTTTAAAGACATATAGAAATAAAAATAAAGAAAAAAGAGATAAAAAAATAGAGGTAAAGAAAACAAGAAAGGAAATATTATAGAAAATGACTGAAAAGGGACCGTAGTAAATATACAAAGATAAATGAGTCTAATCCTTTCCGATATTAATAAGTTTCTTTTAATATGTCCTAAGACACGCAATTGGTCCAATAAATTTTGTTTTACTACTTTTTTCTAAGCAAGTCTTTAGTGAGAAATTTTTGTTTTTACGAGAGTTTATAGAGGTCTCTGCGTTATGTGACAAAACCAGCTCAATCGATATTATTTTATTTTTTCAACCACCGGTATTATTTCTATTTTTTTCAGATATTCCTTATTTATTATTTTATTTTTCCCGATAAAATCCTTATTTCTTATCTTATTCCTCTGTGTTTGCTATCTCCATTTTGTAAAAAATAAAATAAAATAAAATTCTGCCTTAGTGACCAAGTGTTTTTTTATAATTGTTCTCCTTTACAAAAAGCTTTTAACAAAAAAATAAAATAAACAAATCTTCTTTACAAGACTAAGGTTACATGCGATATGATAGTGTAACAATCAATTAGTGTTATTATTTATTATCAATCAATTTCACCGTTAGATCGATTATGTTGATCCAACGGTTATATTTATTTTCATCTTTGTATGGTTATGATTCCCCATATTTAAAGTAAAAGTATTAAATATGGAAAATCATGACTATACAAAGGTGAAAATAAATATAAAATATTAAATATGATGAATCATGACCATACAAATATAGAAATAAATGTAACCCTTGGATCCACGTAATCAATCTAACGGTGAAATTAATTGGTAGTAACATTAATTGGTTGTTACAATATCTTTTCTCAAGTTATATTTATAAATTTTTATAAATTATATTTTCATCACGAGTAATATATATTATTTGAACATATATTACCCGTCATACAAAAAAATAGTTTGTAAACAAAAATTAGTATATAATAACCTATCCCCCTTTAAAATATCTTAAAATTATTTTTTTAAGCTAAAAAAAAAAGGGTTTCATAAGTCTCATGTAATATGAGAATTGAAATTTTTCTACACATCTTTTGATTTTTGTGCTGACATGAGTTTCACATATCATTTTTTCTAACATCTTTTTATTTCTATGACATATGAGATTTCAATTCTTGTGTAAATTGAGAATTATAAAATTCAAAAAATAAATAGGCTTACGGTTAACCAAAAAAAAAGTGATTTCAGCACAAAATGCAAAACCCTAAACCCCTGTCAATGGCCACGTTTAAATGAAGAAAACAAAATTGAAATAAAAATTGCATTCCATTTCCACCTAATTGGAATCCATTTACTCCAGTAAGTGCTACCTCATCTTCATTCGATTTTCCAAAGGTTAATATTAGGGTTTCAAATTCGATTTGATTTTGTGTTTGACCAGGAAGAATGAGGCCTACCATGATGCTCAGGGCTCTGAACAAGCAGTTTATCGGAATCTTCGGTGATGCAGCAAACGTCGGTGTTAAGAAGCCGCCGCCACCGCCTCCTACTCCGGTGTCGCGAAAACCGGCGTTCGTGGATGCATTCCTATACAAAATGAAGAAGAACCGAGCTCTTCTGGCAAACAAGACCATTTGGTCGCGGAGATCCACTATCTTGCCGGAATTCGTTGATTCCACCGTCAAGATTTACAACGGGAAAACCACCGTACGGTGTAAGATCACTGAGGGAAAAGTGGGTCATAAATTTGGAGAGTTTGCTCTCACCAGGAAACGCAAAACCAGAGAACAATCCATTGCCAAAAATGTTAAACAAATCAAGAAAAAAAAGTGATTTTTTTTTATAATTTTTCTTTTTTGGGGATATTTTATTTTCTGCAGTTATTTTCTTCGATGTGGTTGTTTCTTAGGCTCTCTAGAATGTTGTTGAAGATCTAACAGTTTTTTCGGGTAAAGAGTAGGGTTTTCTATTCTATCTTAAGTATTTAACTTCAGCATTGGCAATAAGGATTTCATGAAATTTTGACAATGATTACTGTTGAATCAAGAGGGTCCTTTGATTATTTAAACTCTTTATTTTCTGTTATAATTTAACTTGTGGAGGATGGATCCCTGATTTATCATGTTATGCTTATGAGGACCTGAGATTTATGGTTGTGTTATCTGTTTATGCTGATTGTCGTGCCACAGCCCAGGGTTTTGAGCATCATTTTGCTTGTGCTTTTGTGGCCAGGAACATGTTTTTGGAGAGCTGGTGTCGTTTAGAATGGACTGTATTTTTCTGAATACATAATTTAAATATAGGGAAAGATAAGAGGTTTCAATGGTGAATTTTATCAATCAATCATGCATTTGTTTAAGGGTTTAATGTTTCTTCGAAATAGGAGATAACCCCAAATCCATGTAGTTTTGGAGTTTGAGGAAAAAATGTTAGATGTTTTGGGAAAATTTATATTATAAGGGAGAAGCAAAATTCTCGAAATGTCCTTGTATTTTTTTTTCTGAATCCCAAAATGACGTCATTTGTCGTTTTAGGATTGCAAGAGATAAAGTAAGAGAAACATTTTTTCCTTTGTTTAATAGTAGATTTTATGTCATTATTGATAAGTGTAGCCCAATTGCATAAAATTAGTATATCTTTATATACACTGCTGCAGGTGGAAATATTACTGTTTTCATAGCTGACCTTGGGGATGAAATTTCTGGATAGAAATTGTCATTACTTGATTAACTAACAGCAGGATTGATGTCTTGCAGTTCAGTTAAGTAGTTATATGTTACAAGATAGTTTTTGTTCTTCCGAATGATGCTTCTCGAACATAAGTCTAATCTAGTTTATATGGTATTTAACTTTCAAACACTGAACACTCCGTAATCCCTACGGTTGCGGCAAAAGCACTTTGCTGGGCCGACACTGACAAGACGAAAGCTAGGGGAGCGAATGAGATTACAATGAATGGAGGGGATGAAATACCCTCTCTGGTAGTTGGTGTTAAGAACAAAAAAAAAAAAAATCATACTAGTGATAATTGTTTAATGATTAAATCTTCAATGTAGAAGTACATCTATAATCTTGCTAGTCTGGTGATCTGCCTCTCTTAATACTTCAGATTCTAAGAGATGGTGAGAGAGTGCCTCTATACAAGGACATTTTTTGCATTTTGGTTGAAATCTATACAAGGATTTTTGCACGAGTTTTGACCTTTTTAAGACTGCATCTTAAAATCATCCAGGTTGCAAGGCAGCTTGATGCTACTGCATAGTTGGCAGGGGTAATTTGTTACACACTTTTGAGATTTAGTCAAGATGCATTGCTTCTGTTGTAAGTTTTTTCTGCATACTGCTGTACCAAGCATTGTTAAATAGAGCTCAAGTATGTCTATAGCACAAATGAAACAGAATATAAATTTAGGACAAAATGCTGCTGTGAATTCTAAGATAGCATGCTCTCTTAAAGAACATGGATTCCATTCATAATAGATTTGTTTTTTTGGTTTCCAGCGTATAGAAATTTCTGCGGTTGGAGGAATCTAGCATCAGGATGTACTCTCCATTATCCTCCATGCTTGTCTTTTGGGGACCTTACACTTTAAAAGACTGTTTTTGGTTCAAAAAATTTGGCCAGGCCACACATTTACTTCATTTAAAAGAAGGATCAATTTCTTCACCTGCTAAAAATTAATTAACGGGTCACATGTTGAGCCTTATTTCTGTGGCCATTGAATGCATCTTCCTCAACTGTGGTGTTTGTTGTCTTGTGTACAGTGAGTATCACTGTAGTTTGAAATGGAGTTTTTGCTTGCGCAATGTTTTGTGATAAATAAAGTCTTGTGCATTTTAACCAAATAATGGTAGTTCAATTGATGCGTAAGAATTGAGCAGGCGGGGTGGGGTGAGAGTATATGTTTGATCTTCCCAAATACTATTTTTGGGAGGGCTAAAGTCTTACTCCTGGATTTGCCTCGAACAGAATTGTCTCCCGTGAAGGATATTTGTGGTTTATAAAAAAAAAATCTCATGGAAGAGAAAATTTATTCATGGACTTCCATCAGACAACTTAAACTTTTAAAGGTTGTTAATTGATAATGCTAAATATAACAGAGATAAAATCAGATTTAATATTATGTCTGAACTCAATGGTTCTCCATGGTTGTAAAGTATAATAAAAATCATATACACGTCTCACTGATATATTTGGGAGATTAGTGAGTGATAGTATACACTGGTATAGTCTTCAACTACACTATAAACATAGCGAAAAATATTTCTGGCCTGTATTTATTTCTAAAAATCTTAAAAAAATATAAATATAAAGATTATTATAATTTTAAAATAAATTAAAATTACAAAAATACCGTAATTTTTATTTCAAAACGTCGTATTAAATTTACTCTACCGAAGCAACAAATAAACGTAAAAAGTCATAAGATATTCTTATTCTTAACTACGGAAAAGAAAAAAACCGTGTGCGCTGCTAGTGCATCAATTTTTTCTTCACTGATTCTGCACGCACAACAACATTGGTGTCTGGTCGCTGAAAAACAGTGTTTTGAGGAATCACTTCCCAATGGCTTCTTCTATTTTCTTCACCGACTATGCTTCTCATTCTACAGCCGTTCGCCTCCTCCCTCTGCGGCGCCGCCACCACCACCACCACGTGGGCCCTACTTTCCGGCACTTCACCCTTCACTCTTCTCCATCTCTTGTTGTCCCCGTTGGTATGATCTCCCTTCCTCTTCTGGGTTTTCTCTCTTCTCACCTTGTATGCAATTTTTTCCACCTGGGGTTATCTGGGTCCATGCAAAAATGTGTTCTTTTTTGTTTTTAAACTTAAAAAAAAAAGTGTTTTTTTTACCCCCTTTTTTGGGTCTTACGAATAGCATAGCAGAAAATGATGCCCATTTTTTGTGAATTCTATTTTGGTTGTAAACGAAACCAGAAAAGCTAAGAGCTCAAGGAAGAGGACAGAGAAGCTAGGAGAAGAGAGACTCTCATATTGGAACGTATTTCATTGATTACAAAAGCTGTACAATAGATCTATTTATAGATCGGTGATTGAGAGGATAATCAGTTGCTTTTGGTGCAACTGAATCCGTGAATAGTGGAACAGTCACTAACAACTTAAACTAACAAAGTAACTGAAAGCTAAGTGCAGTAACTAAACTAAGTGCACTGTGATGAATTAGCTGATTGACAATGTGGAGAATATAGCTAATCTACTGTATACTCTAATATTCCCCCCTCAAGCTCAAGGAGGATGTAGCAATGATGTGTGATCAAAAACCTTGAACTTGTCTCTGAGTTCTCCAAATCTTGCAGCAGACAAAGGCTTGGTAAACGTATCAGCAACTTGCAGTGGACCAGGAATGTGTTGGACTATAAGGGATTTTGTCATAACTTTCTCCCTTACAAAAAAGAGATCAAGCTCCATATGTTTGGTCCTGGAATGGAGAACAGGATTGTGTGCTAGAGCAACCGTGCTTTGGTTGTCACAATAAATAACTGGAACTTTAATAGGAACCTGTAATTCCTTCAATAAGGATTGAACCCATAGCATTTCAGCTGCAGCATGTGCAAGACTTCTATACTCAGCCTCAGCACTAGAACGAGCCACAAGAGTTTGCTTCTTTGCCCACCAAGAAATGGGATTAGAACCTAAGAGCACACATGCACTTGATGTAGATCTTCTGTCATCCGGATCTGCACCCCAGTCAGCATCACAAAACGCCACAAGTGAGAGTGGTTGATGCTTGGAAGGAGGATGAAACAGAAGCCCATAAGAGATGGTTCCTTTGAGATATCTAAGAATCCGTTTGACAATTTTCCAATGCTCCTCTAGTGGTTGAGAGAGAAACTGACACACCTTGTTGACACTGAAAGCTATCTCAGGTCTGGTCAAAGTAGCATATTGCAAAGCTCCTACAATCGATCTGTAGAGTGAGGGATCCGAGACATAATGAGAACCATGTTTACATAATTTGCAGTTGCTAGGCATGGGAGTAGATATACTCTTGGAATCTGTCATACCAGCCTTGTGCAGAACATCTTTGATGTACTTTGACTGAGACAAAAAGAGTCTGCCATTAGAAAGTGATTTGACTTCAATGCCAAGGAAGTAATCCAAATTACCAAGTTGTTTGAGAGCAAACTTGGAGTTTAGCTGATCAGTGAGATGTTGTATGAGATCAGAGTTGCTACCAGTGATTATAATATCATCTACATAAACCTAAATGTAGATGCAATGACCATTGGATCGAAGAATGAAGAGAGAAGGATCACACTTGCTAGAGACAAAGCCAAGCTGATGAAGTGCTGCTTGAAATTTCTCAAACCAAGCCCTTGGAGCTTGTTTGAGACCATAAATGGCTTTATCAAGTTTGCAAACTAATGACAAGTTAGTAACCTCAAAACCAGGAGGTTGAGTCATGTAGACTTCTTCCAAGAGTTCTCCATTGAGAAATGCATTGTTAACATCTAGTTGCTTTAAGGGCCAACCATTAGACAATGCTAAGGTGAGCATAACACGAACAGTAATGGGTTTAACAACTGGAGAAAAGGTTTCATTGTAGTCAAAACCATGTTGTTGATGGAAACCTTTGGCAACAAGCCTAGCCTTGTATTTATTGATAGTCCCATCCGGATTTTCTTTAATGCGAAATACCCATTTGCAGCCAATGGGTTGTCTAGAGGGAGGTAGAGGGATGAGAGACCAAGTGTTGTTAGCAAGGAGAGCATTATACTCAGTGCGCATAGCTTGACACCATTCAGGAACTAGCAGTGCTTGTTTGACAGTGGTTGGCTCCATATGAGCAGTGAATAAGGAAGGAGTAGGACCTTTGGATCTTGTAAAAAAAGTGTGAGTTGGAGAGTAAGGCCTGAGGTTACGTGGAGGAACATAGTCAGATCCTGATGTGAGAGGTGGAGTGGAGGAAGAAGCTGATAAAGGAGACTCAGTGAGGGAAGGACAGGAATTAGTAAGGACAGGAGTGGATAATGGAGTAGAGCCAGGACTAATGTTGATGTTGACTATACCAGGAGGTGAAAGAGACTGAGGACTCGAAGTAGCTGATGCATCTATGATAGGTAGAGTGGCTGGTCCAGGAGAAGGAAGATGTGTAAGAGGTTGTGCTGCTGTATCTGAGATGGGAAGACTTGCTGGTCCAGGAGAAGAAATATGAGGAATAGGCTGTGTGGTACAGTGTGATGTTTGATGAGAGCAATGGGGTGCAGGAGATGAGACCCGTGATTGTTGAATAAGGGAAGCATTGGGGAAAGAGCAAAAAGAAGGAAGGATGTTGCTAGAATAAGAGGCTGAATTTGGGATAGGTGTGACAGAAGCTGAGTCTGAGGGAAACAAAGCTGAAAATGGAAATTTATTTTCATTGAAAATGACATCTTTGGATATATAGAGTTTGCCATCTGGACTGAGGCATTTGCACCCTTTGTGGTTAGAGGAGTAGCCTAGAAAGACGCACTCATGGGACCGGAAGTTAAACTTGTGCTTGTTGTATGGTCGAAGAAGGGGAAAGCAGGAGCATCCAAAAGTTCGAAGGAAATGGTAATTAGGAAGAGATTTATAAAGGGCAAAATGTGGAATTTGAAATTGTAAAGCTGATGTAGGTAGTTTGTTAACTAAGTATACAGCAATAAGAAAGGCATGGTCCCAAAATTTTAGAGGAAGAGATGCATGAGCAAGAAGAGTGAGACCCATGTCAACTATATGCCTATGTTTCCTCTCAACTAGACCATTTTGATGGTATGTGTGAGGGCAAATTAATCGATGAGTAATGCCCGTTTCAGTAAGGAACTTGGTAAAGGGGCGAAATTCACCACCCCAGTCTGTTTGAACAGACTTGATGACCTGCTTAAATTGTGTAGATATTAAGGAATGAAAGTTTTTGAAGACAAGTAAGGATTCAGACTTGTGTTTGAGTAGATACATCCAAGTAAATCGTGTAGTGACATCAACAAAGGTGATGTAATACAAAAAGCCTTGAGAGGACTGAACAGGAGCTGGTCCCCACAAGTCACTGATTATAAGTTGAAAAGGTTCATTTTATTCTGTAGAGGAAGGGGAAGAAGGTAATCTATGAGACTTTCCCATACAGCATGCTGAACAGAATTCAGGAACATTCTTATTACTCAGTGAAATATTACAATGAGATAGAACCTTTTTCAAGGATTCAAAGTGTGGATGTCCTAATCTGGAATGCCAGATACTACAATTCACAGATGCATCAGTACAGACTGTATTACAGGACAAAGGTTTACAAACAGACTTGAATGAGTTAACAGAATTATTGGACACTGAATTACAAACTGATGGATTACAATTGAACACTGTATTAACAGAATTATTTGAAAGAGAAGGTCTTGAACAGGTTTGATACACAGCTGGAGCAGTAGCTTGAAGACCTTTGAATTTGTAAAGTCCATCAAGTCCAAGAGAGCCTTCAAGTAAGACCTCCTGAGACTCCTGTGATTTGACAAAACAATGAGTAGCATGGAATTCAAAATAGACATTGTTATCATTGGCAAACTGACTAACACTCATGAGATTTTTGGTTATTTTTGGAACTAGGAGAAGATTATGTAAATTAAAAGAAGCATATGGTGGAAGTGAGGAACGAAAAGAACTGGAACCAATAGAGGTGATTGACAAACCTCGGCCATTACCAACAAAAATTTGGTCTGGACCATCATATTGAGAGCTCTGCATCAAACTTGCTGGATTAGAAGTCACATGATGTGAGGCTCCTGAGTCAGGATACCAGTCCAAGGCCAGCTGGTTATTCACAGTTCCAATAGGTGCACGCGAAGGACCAACTTGTGAGAAATTGACTTGAGGTTGCACTGCTTGTGAGTTACCTTGAGTCTGTACATTAGGAAAGGATCCAGGAAAAGCAGGGAAATAGTTCCAGCTAGGATGAGGTGAAGCTTGCGAAACAGCTAAGTTTGCTGTTGCTGGAAAATTTGCTGGAAAGTTCACTGGAGGAGTGTGTGCTGTCATTGGGAATTGAGAAGGAGATGCTTGATTGTACCTCCACCAGCAGTTTGTGGCTTCATGATCACTCTTTCGGCATAGTTGACAAGTGACAAAGGACCTGCCAGTACTCCTGCCACCTCGATATCTACCTCTACCACCACGCCAACTACCACGAGTTGGCTGTGTGTAAGGTCTGAAAGCATTTCCTTGTTCATAAGGATTTTGTTGAACTGGTGCTTGTGGTCTGTTATGCACTTGTTCATTGACACTAGCAGTGGTAGACAACAAAGGAGGATGATGAACCACATTTACAGAATTGAGACTTAAAGCACTGGATTGAAACTTGGTAAGCATGGCCTCTTGAGCCAGAATTTGAGATTCAAGATCATCAAAATTGCCTGAATCTCTGCCTCTGAAATATGTGATGAAAGGACCGTATTCTTCAGGTAATCCTTCAAGAACTGTTCGAACAAGCTCTTTATCAGTGATTGGCTCACCTATTGCAATCAAGGTGTCACCAAGTGCCTTTACACGAGCCAGGAATTCTTCAATGCTTCTGTCACCTTTCTTGATGTTCTTGAGTTCGGAACTAACTTGATTTGCTTTAGCTTTGGTAACTGAATCAAAATATTTGTGGATTTTGTCCCAAGCTTGATGTGACTGACGCACTCCAAGGATCTTGTTGATTATATCCTCTGAGAGAGTAGATTGAAGCCAAGTGAGAAGCATTTTATCAGTTTTCTCCCATTCAACAAATGCTGGATTAACTTGCTCAGCTGCACGATCTTCATTTGACAAGAAACGCAACGGAATATGAGGATTAATCAGAAAACGTTCTAGTTGATGAGCGATTATCGGTGGTTCAACAATTTGTTTCCATAACAGAAAGTTTTTGTTCGTCAACTTTACTGACAATTGAGTGTTGAAAAATATAGGAGATCTTGAGTCATTGGAGGTAGTAGGAGACAGAGAAGGAGATGAGGAAGCTATATCAGGATTTTGTGATGTAGCGGAAGCCATGGTGAAGCAAGAAAAATGGATCAGGGCCCCAAGATTGGAGTTCTGATACCATAAACGAAACCAGAAAAGCTAAGAGCTCAAGGAAGAGGACAGAGAAGCTAGGAGAAGAGAGACTCTCATATTGGAACGTATTTCATCGATTACAAAAGCTGTACAATAGATCTATTTATAGATCAGTGATTGAGAGGATAATCAGTTGCCTTTGGTGCAACTGAATCCGTGAATAGTGGAACAGTCACTAACAACTTAAACTAACAAAGTAACTGAAAGCTAAGTACAGTAACTAAACTAAGTGCACTGTGTTGAATTAGCTGATTTACAATGTGGAGAATATAGCTAATCTACTGTATACTCTAATAGGTTGAGGTTTGTGTTTGGTATTCAAACTACTTCACCCTATATTTTTCAGTTCATCGTTTTAGTTTGAATTTTACCATAAATTGCAAAATAAGTGATAAGCCTTTTTTTATTTTATTTTTAACCATCTGTGTAGCTTGATAGCTTTAGGATTAACTAGGAAATACATGCATTCTACTATTTCTGCACTGGTCTAATCACATTAGTATAAGGTGTTGGTGGTGTTACTTTGTTTATTGATGCTATGGTTGTGATACAAGTTATGTTGGGAGTGTATGTTTGAAGAGGAGTTTTAACTAGGTTCTTCAAGATATTAGACTTGGTTGTCAGAGAGATTTGATTCTTGAGTGTTTCATTCGTTCTTTTAAGATTAACCTGGGGGAAAAATGTGTTTTGCTTGATTGTTGCATTCCATTGTTGTCATTGCTCATAAGTGGATGGAACATTGTAACTTCTTGAGTTACCTACACATTTCTTTTGGTGCTCATATGTGTGTGCCTTTCCTCTGCTTGCTATTGACTAAAATGGTTTTGCTAACCTCTCTGTTCATATTTTTCATTTGACTTTATGTGCAGCTGCCATGACTACTAAGGCTTCTGCTATGGTGATTGATGGAAAATCAGTGGCAAAGCAAATCAGAGATGAGATAACAGCTGAAGTCTCCAGGATGAAAGAAGCCATTGGTGTGACTCCTGGGTTAGCTGTAATACTTGTTGGAGACAGAAAGGACTCTGCAACTTATGTGCGTAACAAGAAGAAGGCTTGTGAATCTGTGGGAATCAATTCCTTGGAAGCTAATTTGGCGGAGGATTCCACAGAACAAGAAGTGCTGAACCATATTGCAGACTTCAATGATGATCCTTCAGTTCATGGCATTCTTGTTCAGTTACCTTTACCTTCTGTATGCTTCTAAACCTCTATCTTCATTTCCATTTTTGGGAAAAGTATTCCATGATAAGAAATATGTCAGTAACCTATTTTTATGTCGTAGTATGAACTATTCTTAAGTGCTTTGGAAACTACATTAAGCTTTTCGGACATGAAACATTAATATCTTCGAGATTCTCTTATGGTGTAGTTTGAAAATGCAAGTACTTCATTTCTAGATTGTATAATGTCATGGAGCTGTATATAAACACACAACACTCTCAATTTAACGTGTACTAAACAGCTAAAATGATGCACCAAGGTTTTATCGTTTTTATGTGCACGAGTCTTCTCTCATAAAATCTTGTATAGAAGTTTTATTCATTTTCCTGATTCACGTGACAGCACATGGATGAGCAAAACATCTTGAATGCTGTTAGAATTGAGAACGATGTAGATGGTTTTCACCCATTAAATATTGGTCGCCTTGCCATGCGTGGAAGAGAACCCCTGTTTGTTCCCTGTACACCAAAGGGATGCATAGAGCTACTACACAGATATGGTGTTCCTATCAAAGGAAAGAGGGCTGTTGTGATTGGTCGGAGCAATATTGTAGGAATGCCAGCTGCCCTCTTGCTGCAAGTAATATACAATTCGACCAAATTCAGTAACAGTTCCAAACTGGTTCTGATTAGCCATAATTGTTTTCTCCTTTTTGCTTTTGCTGCAACAAAATATGTTTCTGCTTCTTTATATATCTCTTATTTCACTAGAGGGAAGATGCTACTGTAAGTATTGTCCATTCCAAAACCAGTAACCCTGAGGAGATCACAAGACAAGCAGATATCATTATCTCTGCCGTTGGTCAACCAAACATGGTTAGGGGGAGCTGGATAAAGCCCGGCGCAGTCATAATCGATGTTGGAATCAACCCAGTAGAGGTATGTATACTTATTTTAAGGTCATGCTAATAGTACACTACTGACATCCTATCCTAGTTGGTACTGGTTTGAGGACTGAAGATCATATTTAAGGCTTAATTTTTAATATCAATGTTATTTAACCTATGTGTGTTTGGTGTTTGTGACAGGATCCAAATAGCCCTCGAGGTTATAGATTGGTAGGAGATGTATGTTATGAAGAAGCCAGCAAAGTTGCCTCGGCTATAACACCAGTTCCTGGAGGAGTTGGTCCAATGACCATAGCAATGCTTCTCCAAAATACTCTCCTCTCTGCAATGAGGATACACAATTTTGAATAAACATATATTGTCAATTGCAACCTGGTTAAACCATGCATATCATTTTGGCCCATCTATTTTTCGTTTTTGGTCTATTCTACATTGAGAAAATAGGGGAAGTTTGTTCCCCCCCTGGACATCCACCTCCCTGAAGTTGCATCATCATATGATGCACAAATTGTCTAGGAGATTGATGTCCAAATCCTACAATAACTCTGGAAGATCATACTGTAAACAACTCATTAATCTTAAGGCACACTTAAGAGACTGAAGTAAAATGGTTGTTAGAGACAGTGTCGTAAACTAAAGTCAATTGCAAGCAAAGCTTGGAAGAGTTTATTATAAAATTTAATTTGACACAATAATTGTAACAATTGATCTAGTTATTTTCTTTAGTTTGGTTGGCATGTTAAGGTGATTCTAGATTTGCTTTTATATGTCCTGTGTAGACCTCAATCTAAAACGGGTCAATCCATTTCCAGGATAAGGAAAGAAGGCCATGGTGTAAATGAGACAGCATAAAAGATTGAGCGCAAAAGTATTTTAATATTTAAGTGCAGCATTTACAGAAAGTTTCATTGTGAAACCATTTGTAAAGTTATTTTCAGAAGAAATACCCATTAATCCACAGTACAGATTACCTATCAAGCATTTTTTAGGTACTTATTTGATTTCGTCTTTGTATTGTTTCAATTGAATGCCCCCTCTCAAACTATAATTATCAGAAAACTTTAGTAAATAGTGGAAACAACTGGTTAACTAAACATAAAAACACATTTAATTCAGTATATGACTCAAAATCCACAGAACTAAAGACCATTTGCCGGCAACCAAACATGATCTTACATCTATTTTAACCAAAAATATCCCAACTTATCTAAAATAAGCTGATTCTTAATTGGATATGTACTTGCTTTGCACCAGTATAGTTAGATAAGCTGATTCTTAATTGGATATGTACTTGCTTTGCACCAGTATAGTTACATAATTTCAGTCCTTCAATACACGGCGCAATAAAGGAGAATAAAAAATTTGTGGGAAAATCAAGCAGTTTTAATCATGTAATTTAGCTGCAGGTGTCATGAATTTCAACTCTTCAGCACTGATGAAATTTGATCAGCTACCAAAACAATTATCCATTTGAAAGATCTATTCGTGCTCCAAATTGATCTATTGCAGTCCTACTTTGTTGTTTTGTACTCCTAAGAATTGAAACCTGGAACATACCATAATGTAAAAGCATTACTTTACAAAAGGTTAGCTACGATCAGGTTAGAGGAGGTAAAAGGTATAAGGAAGGGTAAACATGCTAAATTAAAAACATCTTTAATAAAACTTTGTTTAGGCAATATTTTCTAAGCTATTTGGATCATGATGTGATGATTTCATAATTATCACACTTTGTTAATATCTCAAGTTAAAATTCAAATAAAAAAAATAAGAATATCAAATCCTCATCTGATGAAAAATCAAAAGGTCATAACTATGCAACCTTGGGCCGTTCCATAGAGCTTCCAAAATACCCTACTCCAAAAGACAAGGAAGAGTAAGCAGCTGCAATCTCTACACCTTTCAGCCTTGATGATTTTCCTTGATCCTAAAGAAAATTGATAAATTAAATAATCTTCACAAAACTATTAACTGGAAAAGCTGAAGGGACTCACTGTTATAGATGCATCCGACTGCACAACCAAGATCCCCGCACTGCTATCAGTACCACATTGACTGCTATTCTCAGCAACAGAGCGTAAGATTTTTGTGCAGGCAGAGGCAGCACCAGACTGTGAGCTGAAGGAAAGTCAACATCAGAAAAATCCAATGCATGGAGTATTGCTATAACACACAAAGCTAATTAGACAAAGAAAATATTCAATACTTAAATGCAGTTACACAACAATGCTTAAAAATTGAAAGTTTCAATTTCTGAAGCCTAACAGATAAACAATGCAAGATGTTCGAGAGATCATATTTTTAACATTCACATAGCTTACCAATTCTGCACGGCAAGCAAACTAGAGATTTAAGATTAAAAAAGTGCCTTTTTCTTTCATTAAATTTCTCAAGCGAATACTTAAAAATTCTGCTATGAGATATTTCAAAAATATGATATTTAACATGTGTACAATACAATATCCAGTCACCAATATCAAAGCATAAAATTTGTAAATTTTAATGAAAAGCATCATTTTATTGCATGTCCTCAACCTCAAAAATAGAAAAGATATCACAGATGGAAAATTTTAGACTTAGAATACACTCCCTAATCTCTGTGCTGATAGGTCCTTCAAGAACACCAGCTCAAGTTTATGGACCAAGACAAGGTCCAAAATGTGATACATTCTATCATATCAATGAAGAATCATAACTTTTTCCTTCAAATATAAAACTATCACAAAAAAGACACAATACTACTGAAGCTCACAGACTAGCTCTTATAAATTGACTATATAAAGATTCTCTCCCTATTTCTTATAGAAATACCAACAGTCATCTGAGAGCCAACCGTACAGTGACAATGAAACAAAGCACTCCCTAGCTGCAAATCCTTTCATTAGGTGCTCTCCTGCACCAGAGACACAACAGCCAGCCATGAATGGAGCCCCAAAGGGACCTTTTGATGATGCCCAACAACCTGAACCAAACATTGCTGCTAACCCAACTCGTCCACTAATCTGTTGCATATTTTGTATATATAATTATGAGTAAGAACTAAGTACTCTAATATGGAAGTGTGGCACACTAGCAGAAAAGAAAACATAGAAAACCATTCTTCACCTTCAGAGCAATACCACCACTGGAGGCCCCTGATGCTACATGCCCCTCAGTATCTACACAAATAACCCCAACTGTGTCCAGTACGCGATCTTCCATAGCATAATCTGTTTCATAAGGGGGCATGGCTTTAGCATGATAAAGTTCATAGGGAGTATCCTACTAACGTAATAGTTGAAGGCTTGGAAAAAACATGCCGACCAAGATATTTTTTTTTCTTTTAATAAATTACGATGATAGAATTTGTTGGCAATTAGCTTTGTTCATATAAGCCATACTTATTAATCTCGGATAGCGGTGCGTAGCAGTTGACCCTCCAAACTGCTATAGCGCTATAGCGGGTAGCGCTACAACGCTAATGTGCAAAATGTACCTAAGTGATACACTAAATTGTACTCCACAAATATAAAACTTAAAATATGAAAATATGACATAAAAAAACAAATTTGAAGGATCTCAAACTAAAACATAAATGATTTCAAACATTAAAATTCAAATCATAAGCAAATTGAAGGAATTAAAGTCTCAAATAATGTAACACAACAAAATAAAGTGGCAAAATTAGTCAAAATTCAAACTGCCACTTAAGAGAAATGTCAAAATCAAAGAACTTAAGGAACTAATCATAATTGAAATCATGAACATCCAAATCTTCATCTTTACTTTCACTTGTATCTAAGTTGTAAATCTCTTCTTTCTACGGCGAGAACATTTTTGCAGAAACTACTGTAGCGGCCGCTACATCCGCTACACTTTGCCTAACCGTAGCGGCGCGGTCTGTGGCGGCCAGTATGATATAAGCACAAGCATTCGAGCATGAAAGGAACAGTATACTGCACTGCCAAATGCATTTATGCCATAAGCAAAGGTTGACAAAGGCCAATATACAACTTGAGGCAGTTAAAAGGGTAAATAGCTTTCTATTTTAATATTTCAATGCAAAATAATCGTATTTTATGGTGTTTCCATTTCTTTCAAAACCTTTACGACAGTGGGCTTCAGATTTAGCTTTGTTAATTAGTTGCCTTGATTCTTTTAGTTGTTTTAGTCTGTTTGATAGAAAGATTGAGTCCATGGACTCTTCAAGCTCCTAATCTTTGCAATGAAGTCATTTTGCAAGGTCAAGATTTCCTCTAGGTGAAGGCTTTTTTCTTGGCTTTAAAAAATGATCTACAATAGGTGCAAAAAAAAGGGCTTTATATCATAACATTATCTCACGTGATTCCAAGAGTTTGAAGATCAGAAGCCATCTTCTTTCACACTATGATTGCTTTTGGGCTTGTAGGCTTTTGCTAATTTTCATGAACAATGGGTCTGTCCAGGTTCTTTAGAGCATCTCTGTTGATTGATTTCATGGGTTGGAAGCAGAAAGAAGGGTAAGCTCTTGTACAAGTTTGCTATTAAATACCTGGCATTGCAGTACTTTGACAGACAGAAGAATCACCCTCAGGAGAGTTCTGTGTCTTAGATCTTGCAGCTTCAACCATAGATTTGTACTTTGTCCATTGGGCTTTTGCCTTTTCTGTCACCAGCCACTGTTATGAGATATAATCAAAGTTATAATTTTGAAGTGGAACCAGTATGACTTAGTGATAAGTTCCAGTGCAGAATTTAAATCATAATTGAAAATATGACCTCATTGGCCTCTTCTATACTTGGTGGCAATGCAACGCCCTTAGATGTAGCCCATTTGCGAGCCCCTTCACCCACCAAGAAGCTGCAGATATGAAAATTTTCTGTAAATCTGACAATAGATACTATCATGTGGATTTGTTAGAATAAGGTGAAAAAAGAGAAGGCTTTCACAAATATTAATTATGGTGGTAAATCTCATATAGTCATGGAAATGCTTTGGTCACAAAAGCAGAGATGTTGAGTAGTCATTACATTGGAGGAATTCGACCCAACAACGGAGATCCCATCATCTGTTCTTTGGCCAATAAAGCAGCAATTTGTATAGCATTTCGTACACCTGGTCTATAGTTAATGGAGTAAATACATAGAAACATGACAGAAAATTTGACATAGAATAGCAACTTCCAAAGTCTTGAGCAAGCAAAAAGTAAAGTTAGAACAATACCCCCCAACAAGAGACAAAAGATTTCCCTGCTAAGTAAACATATAGGGTCTGCTTGGTTGAGTAGGTGGAAGGCGAAAATTCTTTATTTTGCACACAACAGAGTCTCAGTGTATATGAAGAAAATAAGAATGTAAAAAATTATGATGTATCTAGACTGTATTGTATCCATACATAAATACATTTTCATTTTCCAAATACTCAACCAGATTAGTGCCATTTACTAATGAGCTTAACATCAACTGTTCTATCTATCTATTTATCCATGTATCTATCATGTAATAATGTTAACATAAGTACCTGGCACTGCTCCAACAGCCCCAAAAGCTCCAGATTTTCCATCCATTATACTGGCATCACATTCTACATTACCATCCTCCGTCAAGTTAGACCCTCTCCCTGCATTTGTGCTTGGATCATCCTTCATCCACAAAAATAAAAAATAAAAAAGTAGTTCATATTAAACCAATCCAAGAAAGGGTAATCGCTGTTTCTCAAAGCTTCTCAAAGCACCATAATTTTTTTATTATTTATATTTACATTAACATTAAGTTAAAACATTAACATGAGGAAACATTAACATAAGATTTTGTACATTAACATAAGAAAAAAAGTTAACATAAAATGCACGTGGGGTAAAACAATTTTCAAAAAAAGAAAAAAGACAAGAACATAGGAAGAAAGGTAAGTAAGTACCTCCAAGACTTGAATGGCAGCTACAACAGCATCTAAGCACTGTCCCGAACCCTACATACATTAAAAAAATAAAAATATAAACAGTTGTTGGTGTTGGTGGTGACAGACAGATTGAAGAAAATTAATGTTTTCTTGGATTTGGTTACAACCTTGGATAGAACAGAAGCAGCAGCAAGACAAGCGCGGTTCATGGCCGACCTAAGCGCTTTTTCGTTTGAAGGAGAGTGGTAACCGGCACCTACGTGAACCGCCACGAAAAACCTCTTTCCCTCATCACCGTCACCATCACCACCCATTGCTCTTTCTTTGCAGCCCTACTTGTTCTTCTTCTTCTTCTTCCTCCTCCCACTTATTTTTTTAATTACAACTTCTTCTTTTTTTTTTTCTCTTTTTTCTTTGAAAGTTCTTTTTTTTTTAATCTTTTAATTATAACCAGCTTGCAACAACTTCCATGTAATTTTTCTCCTCGTTAACCATTTAAATCAAATTAATCTAAAAATATATAATAAATATATAAATAATAATAATATAATAACAAAGTAATCTTTATTAGATATAGGATTTATTATTTGTGATATTACACGAGATAAATTTATTTTTTATATATACATAAAAGTGTGTAAGACTCATATTTTTTTTTTCTCTTTTTTCTCATCACATGAATTCACATGAACCTCACACTTTTATATATTAGTCTTACAGCACAAAAAACAATAAACTCTTTAATCTATATATATATATATATAGAGGCAGGATCCTTTGACACCGGTGTCAAATTTAAAGTTTGACACCTCATCTAAGAGCCGTTAGATCAAAAAAGATCAATGGTGTCATATGCTTACAAATCAGAGTCGTTGATTTTTTTGATCTAACGACTCTTAGATGAGGTGTCAAACTTCAAATCTAACGGCTCTTAGGATCATTTGACACCGGTATCAAATTTGAAGTCTGACACCTCATCTGAAAGCCGTTAGAATCCTACCTCTATATATATATAATCAAGTGACACTCTCTCTCTCTAGTATTATATTACTAAGATAGTTGCAAGCTTTTTCACTAATTAGACATTAGAAGAGGGTGATATTGAAATTTAATTGGATACTAGAGTTGATAACCCATACGTATATGAGATCTCAGAATCTATCCTTGTTTTAGAGGGGGTGTTAAGGAAAATTCTTGTCATTAGCTCACCAGAATTTGTAGCTTTCATTATTTGAATGTCAACGTGAAATATCTCCCAAAACTTCTATGAGAATGCTTGTAAGTGGCATGATCATTTTCTTAAGAATTATTATGTTGCAAATTCAACCACCAGCATAAGTCACAAAAGTTAATTACCTGAGTTCTAATTTAACTAATCACAAACTTCTTACTAAATCGGCTTTTTGACCCTTATAATCCTTTATTAATTAATTATCGATTTGACCTTGATTATAAACTATTTCAAAAATTTAACCCCCTCAAAAAACATAACACCAATCTGCCCCTGTTTGACTGTTGACCACCAAGCCTACCCGGGTACACCCCTCCCTACTCGGGTAGACAAAAATTTTCAAAAAATACCCGGGTAGGGAGGGGTGTACCCGGGTATTGTTCTTCGCACTGAGAAATTACTTGAAGTATTTACCCGGGTAAAGAGGGGTGTACCCGGGTAAATCTTCGACCACCGGTTCGTTCATTGGTGGGTTTCTTGAATTTGTGCAGTAGAACTGAAGACATTCATTTGGGGAAGCAAATTCACAGTCATGTTCTAAAATTGGGTTTTGATGAAGGGAGTGTGCACATTCAATCTGCTTTGATTGATATGTATGGAAAATGCAGGGAGATTGAGAGCTCTGTAGCTGTATTTGAATGCCTTCCCAAGAGGACTTTGGAGTGTTGCAACTCATTGATGACCTCTTTGTCTCATCGTGGTGCCATTGAAGATGTGGTGGAATTGTTTGGTTTAATGGTCGATGAAGGTCTTATGCCAGATGAAGTAACCTTATCCACCACACTTAAGGCATTGTCGGTATCTGCTTCATCAAGCTTCACGAGCTCCCAATTACCCGGGTACACCCCTCCTTACCCGGGTAAATAATTCAAGCAATTTCTCAGTACGAAGAACAATATCCGGGTACACCCCTCCCTACCCGGGTAGATAAAAATTTTCAAAAAATACCCGGGTAGAGAGGGGTGTACCCGGGTAAGCTTGGTGGTCAACGGTCAAACAGGGGCAGATTGGTGTTATGTTTTTTGAGGAGGTTAAATTTTTGAAATAGTTTATAATCAAGGTCAAATCGATAATTAATTAATAATAAAGGGTTATAAGGGTCAAAAAGCCTACTAAATCCCAATATGAAGTCACAACAAAAATAGAAATTGGAATTACATTTGCAACTTCTGTGATCCTGTCATTTTACAATAAAACGATGTATTGTTGAGGACAACTTGGTATTTGTTTTTGGCAGGTAAGTGACATATTGGTACAATGATCTTAATATCATAGGAAGAGAGCTTTGCACTGCTTCATAGTATCTTCAGGGCTTGTAACTGAAAAAAAGAAAAAAAATCGTACAAGTCATTAGGATCACAGAATAGTTGTTTCCTTGCAAATAATGACTTGGTTTTCAATCTAATTTATTAAAAACAACTAACCAGTGTGCCCAACAGTGCGTTCTGATGCATAAATTTCATGATCATTTCCACCCTACTCAAAGAAAGAAACAATAAAGAAAAGTTATATGAAATGAATACTTTTGACCTATGACCATATACCATGCCTATGGGAAAGCTGAAAGGACACATGAAACAAGTAATGTTAAGTGAAGGTCCATTCTAGACAATGACAATGGGAAGATAATATTGGTTTCGAGAATGAATGAGATTGCATCAGTTGTTTTATAATAATTAGAGATGTCCTTCAATATGCATATAAAATCTAAAAGCATTGTTATTTTGGTGTATGATTTAAATGAAAACTTAAAGAGAAAAAAGGATTCTCGTCAGCATAAAGAACTGAATCAAATTGCCAGCTACTTGCTTGTTACAAGTTACAACAAGCAACAAGGAACACATAGTTGGCTTGATACTCATAAGTCTAAACAATTTAGGTTTGCATAAACTGTTGGACTAACCTTGTAAGTTTTGTCACCAAAGAAGTGGATTTCATTGAAATCATCAACGTATCTCAGGCAGTATGTTTTATCCCAACCTTGAGGGAAAACCTGTGCAATGGATTCAAATTTAAACGAGTTGGGTTAAAATTTGACCAATAAAGTCACCACAATATGAAGATCATCACTTACATCAAAGCTTATCTGTCCTCCAATGGAAAATGTTAAGTTAAGATGAGCAAACTTCTCGCGTAGTACAGAAACCATTTTGGGGCGTATGTTCTGAATCTGAGAACTTAAATTGCAAATTTCAGGATAAAGTATTACCTATAACTCAAAATCAAATCATTGAAGCTGAAAACTCTTAAGAGCCAAGATACATCACCTTGTCATACTTCTCAAATTCTTCTCTTTCTTCTTGGCTACAGTTTCTCCCAATTGGTGACACATTCAGCATCCCACTACGAAACTCTATAAATGTTCCCCTAACAATTTTATCATGTCAATTATGATTCAAAAGTTACATCAAGTATAAATCTATGATTAGGTTCTAGATCCCACTAACCTCTTAATTGGGATATCCAAATCTGCAATGTAATGAAGTGTAAAATTGATAAATTCCTGCAAAATAATCCCCCATTCTATCATATTAGTAAAAGCAGGATAAATATAAATATCTTCTTTACATATAAAAGTTTATTGAAATCAAACTGTCACTCCATAGATGTAAAATCTTGTTAATTTACTTGTCTTCTAAGCTTAAGCTACAATACACAATACATAGATCAACTTTATTTATTTATTTTTGCTTTTAGAATATATGCCATGCTAAGAATCTCATATGCTGATATGTTTATGTAACAACTTGACACACATATATTAGGATGTAATCAGAAGACCAACTCTAGTCTCAAATGGGGAAGATGCCTTAAATTGAAATGGAAATATAGGCTTTACCTTGAGCTTTTCTTCCCCAAGGAATGACTTCAAGCTCTGCAAAGAGGGCAACACTCGATTCATTATGTTGTATTAGAGAAAAGTTTGACATTAATAAAAACGAGAAACGATGGCCGGAGGAGGGGGCAAGTAAATTCTGAATAGCTTAATCTATAAATCATTTTTCTTTCTTCAATATGGTGTAAAATGGCTATATTTTCTTTTATAACCACTCCACTTCCCATTAAATCATGACTAGCAAGGGTAAGGACGAAAACAATCTTTATGTGCAACATTACCCTTGCATATTTGCAAAGAGATTATTTCCTAGATTCGAACACGTGACCTTTTAGTCACAAAGGAGCAGCTTTCCCACTATTCTAGACTCATCCTCTTTATAATTCCTATCACAAATCACAATATAGTATCACTTGTTAAAAATACTTTAGTTGCATGTTTTCTTTTTAATTACTCAGAGGATCAGCACAATTTCATTAACATATATCTTAGTTCATGCTAATAAAGTGTTATGTCAAAATTAAAACATCATCCTGATCATAGCATTTTTCTTTTATCATGGATTAAAGCTTTTGTGGTGTACCTGGGTTCCTATGAGCTTTCCCTCCTTATGAGCCACAAGACCATTCTCAGAAAATACGTAATCATAGTCATTGGTAACTGCATAGACAAATAGGGACGTTTAAAAGATATATCGTTCTATCATGAGTATGAGAAAAGAGGAAGAAAGGAGAGAATGTAAAGGAATTCTGGATATAATTTGATATTAGCTTATAACCAAACATATTAGACTTGAGCCAGTTTTAAAGGCTGGAATTCAACACACAAGAACAAGAAAAAGAAAATATAGATAGAATTAGTTAATTAGTGGAAAGAAGAAGTAAGATCAATTTTCTCAAAGTGGTCTCCCATATGTTCAACATATAGCCTCAGAAACCAAAGAGTTACTTATAACTAACCTGTCTTGCCTAGTTGCTCAGATATCTTTACAAGGTCAGATCCACCAACAACTCCAACTGTTACGACCTGTACTTAGACATCACAAGATACCAAAACAAAACATCATTCTATAGTTTGTACGTAGACAGAGAAAGCAGACAACAAGAAAAAGCAAAGCATGTTAATAAAAAGAATTTTTAAAATCATGTACCTTGCGTAGTTCCTGCATGAACTCTAACATCTCCGGAGTAGCCGCCTTGAATTTGAGAAGGAAACATTAAATAGACATAATGCAAGACTAACAAATCTAAAAGAATAAAGCCAGATTTCTATTTTTGTTCAGCAAGAAGGTGTTTTTGCATTTTATGATGAGGGAACAGATGAATAACCTCAAATGAATTTTAGATAATAGATTCACCTTAGAACCATATCAAATTGCTGCATTGATATATCTTGCAATTTTAATCAGAACAAAATAACTATAAACAGTGTCTTTAGTTGCAGGAGAAATAGTTACCTTCCTTGGAGCTGTAAGAGTTCCATCAACATCAAATAAAGCAATTAAACAAGGTTTCCTAGCAGCCATTATAGCTTATTGTTCTGCACCCCAGCCTGCAAAACCTTCAACCTTTTTTCATCAATTAATGATGAAAAAAAAAAAAAAAACAGATTTTTATCAAGTTTTAAGAAAATATATCTTCAAACTTGCAAATAAGCCAAAATTTTCAATGATAAGTGTTCCCGGAAAATGTTTTGGCTTAATCAAACAATTCAGATAAAATGTACAGAAAAAATTGCGGAACTTTATCAATTAATAACCAACGTCACACAAAATTCCATTACATGTCTAGCAAATGACAAAAGCATCATCCAGCTTGCAAATGCAAATAAGCTACATATTTTCAAATTTCAATGCTTCATCAACAAGTTAGAAAAAGAAAATTTTCAAATTTAAAATAAGAGAAGAAAAATAGAAGAAAGCCAAGAAAAAACAGATAAAGGGAAACGCATATTAAGCCTCAAAATCTATAAAAAGATTTCAACTTTCTAGTGTAAGCAGCATGAAAAAAAAAAATGTGAAACTTGTCTAATTGAAGCTGCTACATATTGGGAAGCTGGTTTTAGCTGCATGTAGTTAGAATTCTAATCAATACCCAATTACAAAATAAAGCCCATTATTATAAGGTGTGAAATGTAGAAGTAGAATTGAGAAGCACAAGCAAAGTGGAACAAAAACTTGCCTTGTTAGTTCAGTGCAGAGAGAGAGAGAGAGAAGTGAAACTTAGAGACAAAATTTGAAACAGATCTTGAATGGTTTGCAAGGGGTTATAAAAGATTGGTTCAGATCTGTGACAGAGTAACAAACAACCTTTGAGTGGTCCCATAAGAAATCTGTGTGACAACACAAACATGTGCTTCTGATCGTAACCTATGAGGGTGCTCTGAAGCACTTGTTTAGGTAAAGGGGCACAAATCCTGAGGAAAATAAGCCATCTCAAATCCCCAATTAAACTAAATTAAGAAAGGGTTCGTTTTTTTTTTTTTTCACTCATTATAGTTAAGAAATTATAATATTTTTATAACTATAATAGTATTTCTTATTATAAACTTTTAATCTTTCAACTAAAAATGATCTTCTGGGAGTAAATATAGATAACTTATCTACATTCATCGTAGAAATATTAAAGTCATAAAAAAAAGGGAAAAACTATGTTAAATCTCTTTCCTACTTATTGATCAATTTTCATCTTGCGCCTTTTGTTTTTTTGTTTTTGTTTTTTTTATAAGTGAGTGATCTCAGCATATGGTTGTGTCTATAATAAGAATAAAGGTATCTCATGTTAACATGATATTAACGAAGCCCTTACATCAAATCATACAACCAAGGTGTAGCTCAGTTGGTAAGTGGACTGTAGCTCGAGGGGTCAAATTCTTGTGGCTCACAAAAAAAAAAAAAACAAATCACACTCTCATATTGCACTCACATCGAAAAATATGTCTTTTTTTATTTGGGGGACCCATTTTATTTGTCTCTCAACGTGAGAGAACTTCTCTCCTACTATGTAAAAGAAGTAATCTATATTGCATCGACACTAACACAGAACACAATATATAACATGATACGCGGACACGTTAATTCTAAAAATATTAGATTTTTTGCTTTTTCTACGGTCAATGTAGATAACTTATCTACATTGAGCCTAAAACGACGTCGTTTTGAGGCGGAAATCAATGTATTTTTGTAATTATAATTTATTTTAGGGTTATAATAGTCTTTTTCATTATAATTTTTTAATTTTTTAACCCAAAACAACGTCGTTTTAGGAGCGAATGTAGATAACTTATCTACATTCATTTTAGAAACATTAAAGCCTATTTTTAATATATATAATATAGTTTACATTTAATACATATAGCAACTCATAATAAGTGATATACTCAATTAAACACTCAAATTTCATAACATAAATCTAAAGGAAAAACAATTTTTCGTGCCTTGTTAATTTTTTCAGATCAAATTTCATAACAGAAAATATTTGATTTATAAATTAATTTTACATATTTAGTTAAAAAGATAAAATAAAATATGGATATAATAATAAAAAAATGTGTCGGAAAACGTTGATCGCATGTCGGAAGTATGCCAAAAAACATTGATAATGTGTCAATAGTGTGTCAGAACGTTAACCGCATGTCGAAAAATATTTATCGCGTGTCAGAATGTGTCGGTATCCGACACACAATTTAATTTAATTTTTAAAATGAGCGTGTCCATGCATTAGAAGAAGTAATCCCCTATTTTTATTTTTTGGTTTGCTTACAAATACCTTCATTGATGTAATCCCCTATTTTTATTGTTTGGATTGCTTACAAATACCTTCAATGATCTAGATTCCCACTCAAAAATAAATTTCTAATCCCAGAACTATGCATGTAATTTATTATTTTTGTCCCCATAATTTTTATAAAACTCTGTAGCAATTCATCTCTAGTGTTACTTCAGTTTTGAGTTTTCTGTAAAAATTAGGCCTAGTATTTTGGTTTGAGCATGAAATTTAGTGAGCCGTAAGTTTCCATTTTATGTCTGCTCTTTCCAATATGGTACAACAAGTGCACTTGCTTGGATTAATTAATCCTTGTCTATTCAGTCACTATACACATTAATACAATTAACCATTACTTTCTTTTTGGCCGATCTTACTGGCAAATAATTTCTACTTTATGAAAAGTTGCTGCAACCATTGGAAATGTCAATTGTAACGTGCATTGGAGCTTAGGCAAAAGGCCACCGCTGGAGTAATTGGGAAGAATTAGGTTTGCAAAGCACAGTTTCCTTTTACTAGCAATTTTGGCTTTACGTTAAAAGGAGATTTCTTAGCAATTTGTTGAAGAAAGTGTTACACAAAAGAGCTCAGATTAGGGGAGACTATCATCACATCCTAACGAGTCTAAGTTATAATTCACAATCACGTCATATTTTAATCCAAAATCTTAAAATATTAATTTTACAAGTCATTTCACTTACTGAATTCAATATCTCCCTAGTTCATTTTTATTAGAATATGTAGGCAGATTTTGGGGTTTTAAAAATTTGCACAAGATCAACCTACGTATCCTAATAAGAATAAATTAGGGATATCCTGAACTTCAATATATCAATTACACCGAAGTTTTATTCCACTTGTATAGACCATGCTTAATTCATTCCTTCTAACACGAAACTTTATTCAGCACCTTACAAAATAACAGAAACAGAGATCCAACCTATATAGTCAAGCTACTGGCCAGTGGCCACCACATGAGTCCACATCCACACCTAGAATCATCTTATATTTACTCAAAAACAAAAAAATAACAGAAACATATGCAAGAAGTTACTACACCCTATTTCCCTACAACAATTCCCCACCTAAATTCCAGTAAGGGCCACAGAAGCATCATTTTGTTGCTTTGCCAGTGAACAACCCGTTTGTATATTAACATCAATAACCTCATAATTTTACGTTGTGTTAATATATCAACAATGTTTAAACAAGTGAAAGCAGATAGTATAAATTTATTTACAATTTGATACGAGATAACTTTGTTGGGAATCGATACACACAAATCAAAAAACAAAACAAAAGCTTACCAAAAAAAAAAAAAAAAAAAAGAGAAAGGGAAGAGAGATTTGACATAGTAATTTACTCTAATTCATCCAATGTACGTTATGTCTGTATTATATTCACCTCACTACGACTCATTACACGCTACTCATTACAAGTCGCTCAATTTACAAGAGAATATAAATATAATTCAGAAAATCCTAACAACAGTTATTCATAAGCCCAAACTCAAACTACTAAGAAAAAATAAAATTACATAAGAAAACTCCGCTAATTAGGGCCCTTATTAATATGAGAAGTATGAGTCATACCCTACAAACTCATGCCCAAGTGATTTTTATTAATACAACTCAAATAACATTGATTCAGTACCTTACAAATAGAAGTCTTCAATCATAAATTACTTTCACTGTAAATAAAGTTTACAATATCTAATACAAACACACATTAAGTCTGTACATATATGGGAGTGTTATGTAGTGCTCTAACTTAGCTAAATTGCTAATACAAATATGACTTTTGTTCAAAATGGTGCCACTTCACTTCGATCGAAAAAGAGGCCAGAAGGACCTCCATTAGGTAGCAAAGCCAACCTTACAACACTTTCAGCACCTTCCTCAACACTCAAAATGCCATTATTGTAGTTTAGATCTGTTTTCACAAAACCAGGGGAAACAGCATTGATGTAAAAAGTTGGGTATTTCTTGGCAAGAATCCTTGTGTAGGCATTCAAAGCAGCTTTTGTGACTATATATCCAGGTGCATAAGTAGGCCAGCCTTTGGTTTCTAATGAACTCTCTTTAAAATCTTGTAGGAAATGATTCAAAACCTCATCCAGTTTTTCCTCTGTAAGGCTTTCAACATCACTTAGGACTCCTTTAGGCCATCCATTTGGTATTAACTGCATCAACATGAGTGACAAACGTTATGCCCAATCTCCTAATTACTGGCTTATTACAATGATTAAAGAAGCCATACAGATTTTAGGTTAGTTGAAATGGCTTACTTCACCTGTTCACCAGCTGACCAATTTATAGGGGATAAAAAAGATATAGGTTTTCTTTTTCTATAAATTGCTTATTGCATCAAACACTGGTTTTGTCCATGTAATTAGTCTCTTGCAAATAAAATGTAAGACTACCTACAATACAGGACTAGGTTGCCAATTTTTTTTAAAAAAAATTGTTTATAGTTGTTGAGATATATAATCTCACATTGGTTGTATGAGCAACTAATGTGGAGTTTATAAGGCCTTGGACACTCTCACCCTTTGAGCTAGCTTTTGGGGTGGTGTATCCCAAGGTTCTTTATATGGTATCAGAGCAGGGCCTTTCATCCAGTTCGGTGTGGTTCAAGGACAAACCAGGCAGAAGCTGGTGGGCATGTAACATCAGGCACGGACAAGGAGTGGCTCCTGACAGGCTTCCAGCGGGGGGTTACATGCATGAATGAATCGAATCGACACCCGAAAGAGAGGGATTCCAAAGGCTGTGCAGGTATAAGACTGCACTGTTTGGGATAACTTATAAGAATTAATTGGTACTTCCTATGCTAACAAGATGCATCTACTTTTCGGTAGCCCGGAACGGAAGAACTCCATAGTTAAGCGTGCTTGACTTGGAGCAATTCTGGGATGGGTGACCTCCTGGGAAGTTTTCCCGGGAAGTGTGCGAGTGAGGAAAAATGGGGATAGTCGTTGATTCTTGAAGCGGCCGGGCGTTACAAGTGGTGTATCCCAAGGTTCTTTACATGGTATCAGAACCTCGTGTCGTGTCCTGGGTTCAAACCTCGCTGCCCCCCACTTTCTCTTGTGGAATTTCTTAGCACAGGTAGGTGAGACTGTGCATTGTCCACCCTTCAAGCCTAATGGGCTCTCGTGTGAGGGGGTGTGATGAGATATATAGCCCCACATTGGTTGTATGAGCAACTAATATGGAGTTTATAAGGCCTTGGGCACTCCTACCCTTTGAGCTAGCTTTTGGGGTGGTGTATCCCAAGGTTCTTTACAATAGTAACAAACAAATTAGAGACGAGGTTTGGAGTAACGGTGAGGCTTCTCCTTTATGACCAGAAGATCACGAATTTGTGTTTGGGACAATCTCTTTGCATAGAATGCAGGGATAAGGTTACGTACAATCTATCAGAGTTTGCCCATTGGCCTTTATAGTATCAAACACACTGGTCCAAATTCAAGCAAAGCTGGCTTCCTGATTGAGATTCTAGACCAAGAAACAAAGATTTATTCTAGGATCACAAACCTCCAAATTCCCGCGAGTGGAAGAAACATTAACAATCCTTGGTGAGTCTGAACATTTTAGAAGGGGAATTAGTTCTTCACA